GAGAGAGACAGAGAGAGACAAACAGAGAGAGTGAGAGGAGCGAGAGAGAGAGAGACAGAGAGAGAGAGAGAGAGTAGACAACAACGATTGCACCATTGCAAGTGCGCGCGCGAGCCGGTATCGGGATTGCTGCGCTAATGCGGGAACATCATACTAAGGTTGGCTGCTTCACCTGGCTACATCTGGTCCGCCAGATACTTCATGATAAACCTTGTTGCTTGTGATGGTCTTGGCCCTGAAGCTTTAGAAGATTCTTCCGCTGAGCCTTGGGGTTTACGCCTTGTTGGGCCCAAACGTACGGGAACATAGGCTTCAAGAGTCGGTGGCTGAGATTCTTGCATCTGCTTCCGCATCGCCACCGGAGCTTGCTGCCCTGGCCAAGGTGATTGATATCTGTTTCTGCACAGCAGTAGTCCTTGCTCGATGTCGATGTGCCCTGATTTAAGTCCATCTTCCATCTCAAGGCTTCGTGATGGCATGAGTCCAAGCACCAACCTGGACAAGAACAGTAGCAATCTCCTGCAGAAACTTTGAAGTGCTTACTGCAAACAGCACTAGCAAACGCAATCCCGTGACCATTCCCACGTCCATCGAATTGAAACCGTTTCCCCACTCTGCATTCTTCCTCTTACGCTGGTCCCCCGGGCGGCGCGCAAAGTGGCAGCATGCTGCTGTCGACTGGGACCTCAGTGAGAGTGGCTGGGGTCATCCCCAGGATTCTACACCTCCAGAAGTCGATACAAGGGGAACTGGGATTCTTGCACCTTTCTGGGTACTGATGGCAACTTGCCACAATCCCATCCGAGAAGGCAAAGTAGCATGGAACGGGTCCAAGCAATCTCAAAGGTCGTGGCGGCCCAGCTTTTGCAGGAGGTACGTGGTAAAGTTTCCTGGCAAACCAGCTCCTCTATTGCTCGCATGGTTGCTCCAAGTCATTCCGTTGGTCTTGCTCAGCCAGCTTTGATGCCGAGACACAAGTCCTACTAGGACAAATCCAGAGGGCATTGGGGCCAGTCTGCACATGCAAAGATGACCAAGGATCTTTCCTTACCAGAACTTGTATGGACTAATGCAGACCACCAGGCAAGTTTACATTGTAAGAAATAGTAAAGAAGAAACGTGGAGCCACCAAACAGGATTCGACCCATCAGCTGTACATATAAATCCGACAATTGGGTCACAAGCAAGCTTCCGGTCGGATTGTTGCTGTTCGTGCAGCGCGGTGCCATGCAACATTGCTAATAGACCAAACCAACAACAACCGCCATGCGGCAACTTCAGTATGATCTGCTTTGGCTGGCCTCACTTTCGCACAGTCTGCTGTAACGACCAATGCAAGGGTTGGGGTGGCAGGGGGTTTATGGCTGGGAGATGCTGGGAGTCTAGAAGTGGTGCGGCAGTGCAGGTTCGGGGCCTGACGAGCCGGAAGCTCCAACCGCTCCCTTTCAAGTACGTGAGCCCAGAGTGCCTGAGCCCAGCTGCCGAAAGCTTCGCTGCACCTGCACGCAGTCAGGACAGAGCAGCTCAAGCTGTCAAACCACGTCCACCACTTGGGTTTTTGTTCGCAACCCTCCGCAGCCCCCAGGATTTTTTCTTGCAAGTTTCCGGGGATTTTGGGGGAGACTTGCAACATTTTGCCATCGTCAGTATGGCCCTGAGCCCTGGTCGGCTGGCGAGGATTGGCATTTTCAACCGAGCAGCTTTGCCACGTTTGACCTTCTCACAGGGCCCTCTTACGTCTGGATCTGAAACCGGACATGCTGAAGGCACACGCTGCTAGTCATCGACAGACCTTGTTGGCATGATCTCCTGCAAGTTCCCGGTGTCCCCTGTGAGGGTGTTCTCGGTCTTTGGTGTTTCTCCAGTCATGGATGCTGTTGGACTTGCGGAGTCCATGCTTAAGAGCTGTGCAACGTCTTCTGTAGTTGATGTCCCTAAGGCCTCGGCACTGTCTATCGCTTTCGCTATCCTGGCCTTAGAGGATTCCATGGAGTCTGGGCCCAAGAGCTCGGCAATGTCGTCTGCCGTGGCTGTGGTGGAGGTTTCTGTGCCAAGTGAGTCAAGAGCCAGATTCGCAACATCTTGAGCTGTTGTGGAAGTCATCTCTGGACTTATGATGGTCTCCTCACTCAGCAAGTCGTCCATGTTCTGAGTAGATGACATTGTGCTGGTCATGGCGCCGCTTTGCTCGTCCTCGGGTGTAGCTAACCGCTCAAGAACATCGACACCTGGCGTCGTCAGAGCAGTCGGATTTTCTGGAGCCACTTGTACGGCATTTGTCAGGACTGGGACGGCAACCCTATTGTCCTCTACGATTTCAGCATCAATGGAGGCCTCGAAGTTGGGATTTCCTGAAACTTGGTCGGTTTCCTGGCCCGGGAACGGAAGTTCATTGATGCCGACCTTCTGCCAAAGGTTCGTCCAGCACTTCTCCTCCAACTCCGGACTTTCTGCCATGCTCTGGCCCAACTCCCGAGTTGGGTCGCAAAGCAGCTCCAAGTCGGCCTTTGTGTTGTCGACGATCTGCTCGATGGCAGGCTCTATCTTTTTGAAGACGGCATCATCAAAGCTGAAGACATCGCCGAAGGCTGCCACCATGAGATTGTACTTTCTGAGAGTCGGTTCGAGATTGGGATCAATGAGGATCCGCTCGTGGGCCTTGCCGGTTCCAGCCATCATGCTTTGATCCTGGCAGAACCCACATGCTGAAAAAGAACACGGTCATGGCCGCCCTTTACTCATTCGTGCTTGTGAGGGCTTGGAGCGCAAAGAAACTATCTGAACAACAAGGGGCCCCACAAAAGTTCACAAGGCGAGCGTAATGCCCCCCCAACAAGACCTATAGCGCTCAGGTCTAAAATCTCAAGATCGTGTCCAGAGCATCGATCGCCGAGAAGAAGTCCTGCGTGCTTGAAGTGTCTCGATGAACTTCAAGGCTCTAGTTCGCTTGTCTCCTACTCTGTGTAGGTCTTCACGTAGGTCGCGCAAGGGACGTGATGCCAGCATCAAAACGCAGTCCCCTCTCTATGTCTCACACAGATGCCCAAGCTCGGCACTAATTCCCTCATCTCCCTTTTCCCTACTTGTGAAAGGCCCGCCTGCCTCCACGGCAGCTTTCAATTTCCGCAGCAGACGCATGCCTCAATAGCATCACCAGGTTGTACGAAGCATCGTTTCCAAACCATCATACGAGCACTAGCTACACAGCTACAAAACACCTCCTCTGGCAAAGTGCCAGAGGAAGAACACGCAACCAAACAAGAGCATTCTTGTTGATTTTTCATAACTCCGATCAACTTTTTGAGCAGATGTTGGGCGGATCCCTAAGCTGGTCATACGAGAGGCAGATTGTGCTTGCAATGTGTATGCGTGTTGCTAAATTTTGGGGGAGGGCGCACGTCGTCAGCACCCCTTCAAGGTCTTTTGTTAGACTCCGCCATTTTGCCCCCCCCCCCCCTCCTCCCTCCCCCCCTTCAAAAAACAAATTGAGTTCAGCGGCTCTCCGCGCCCCTTTCGTGGTTCCGCTGAGCTTCTGTGAGCTGGTCGGCAGCCTCCAGGTTTTCGAGAGGCGCTAAAGGAAGGGTGCGGCGATTCAGATGCGGCAAATCAGGATGTTGAGAGTTTGGGCATTGCTGGAAGCCCTAATTGCCTCTGCTGCTCTGATTGCCCAAGAAACCATTTTTTGCCCAAACCTTCCCTTCAAAATAGGTGGGCCCGTGCCTCTGCCTGCTCGAGCTGCGCCTTTAAGGCTTCTTCCACAGCTTCCTTCACTTTCGTCCGGATCTCCTCCAGTGCCTGTAGGGCTGTAGGACTATGGCATGCTGCGGGGATCAGGAAGGAGTCTGAGGGTTCTTGTTTAAGCTCACGCGGTTGTTAGCGGCCCTGGGTAAAACGCTAGTTTCGGCACTTCTGGTGACTTCTTGCGGTTTCTTGTTGGGGGGGGGGGGGGATAAGAACGTCATTCGTATTGTGTCCATGCCCAAAACGCTGGTATTTACAGCGTTTTCGCCTCTTTGTACAAGATACTGCACAAGGATATATAACAAGAAATGCTATCCCAAACGTCCATGTCTTTTGCGACCAAAACCGTGCTTTCTGTGCTTAACGTCTCTGCGCAACCCCAAAGCCCTAAACTTGAACCGCCGCGAGCCCGTTGCACCCTGAACACTCCAGCCCCCAAAAAACATGTGAAATGCTGAAAACACTGGCGGGCGTGGCACTTTTCAACATAAGATCACATTGCAGTTACGCCGTTCCACCCTGAACACTCACAAAACACAAAACCCGAAAACGCGCAGAAATCGCAAAACATATCCCCAAAATAAACACTGCGAAATGCTGAAATGGCAAGCGTGGTCCCTTTCAACAACACACCACCTTACAGTCACTCCAAGTCCTGAAACACAAATGCCGCCAAAAAACTTTCAATGTGCGACACTGCCCTGCGTGGGTTGAAAGCACATTTCCTGGTGCAAACAGTCCAGGGCCGCTAACGGCCGCGTGACCTTGTTTAACGAGCCTGTTTGGCTCAAAAGGGTGCCCTGAGCCCACGAAGAATCTCGTCATTCCCTGCCTCAATATTTCGACCCGTATCAAGGAACACTTGGTGCCCTTCACTTATGTCTGCTTTTACGATTGTCCTTGAGACACAAGGCCACAAGATACAAACATGATGATGCAAACAAGAACGCGCGTGCACAAAGGGTAAAGCAAGCGCACAGACACAGCAGTCCTCGATGTATTTTCTAGAAGCCTGCAGTGCAAGAATGTGCTACATACTTCAGGACCCATACCTGAACATGAAGTTTTGCACGGCTGAAACTTGCACAACGCTGAACCCATTGAACCCATTTCTTCCCACCGTCAACCTCAAACTGAAGACTCCCAAAACTCCCCCAAGCTGCAGCCTCCTGCGCTTGCTGGGACCTCTTTTCGGCTGCCATCTGCTGTTCCTCGCTCTCTTTCTTCAGGTGTCCAGCAGCCTTCACCTGCACTGTCACTGCACTAGACAAAGCATCTTTGTGTGCGGGGTGCAAAGATATTTCGCCTCAAGAGACGAGAAAAGCAGCTTTTCCAAGAGTGGTCAACTTTGCCTTTTTCGGTAGGTAGGCTGTTGCAACAGACCTGCTAATCTGCAGAGAATCCGGGCAACAAGTTGCAGCTGCAGCGCGCGATCTGCAGAACACATTTTTTTTGGTAGGAGCTTGAGCTTGCCCCGCCGCCCACAAAACAACCATCAATCGCGTCTCGCAGGCCCAAGTCTCAAGCAAGGCACACCATGTCTTGAGATGCTGCAGGAACCCTAGCCGTAGCCCTAACCTTTGTCGACATCGACATAGCTTCATTTTCAAATCTGGACTTTTAAACCACCGGCACCTTGTCCTCCTTCAGCGTCATGTCCGCTTGTGCAGCATCGCGCTGTTCTCGCTTCGCTTCCACTTCCTTGCAGCACAAGCGGTGTTTTCATCTCTGGATGTCTTTGGTGTGAGTGAGTGTGCTTGATGGGGAAGCACAACTTTGTCAAGGGATCAGGGGCCCAACCAACCCCTCAACACCCACGTCGCAAATCTACGAAGAAACATGACCCCCGCCTTCTTCTTAGCATCCAGCGCCGTCTCCATCGCGTAGAGTGTCTCCATAAGCGCCGTCTCCTGCGCCTTGACACCTAGCGAAGGCGAAGGCATCAGTGCTTGAGCTCTCCAACTGGGCTTGCGCTTCAGGGTTTGAAGTTTGGAAGGCGAAGAGAAATTTCACGACTGCGCCTGAAGATTCTGATATGCAGAACAGTACCTTACATCTTCCACTTGGACCGGCAACAGACCTGCCCCCGCCTTTTTGAAGAACTTCAAGCTCTGAACTCAACCTCAGGTAATGTGTATCCCCGGCCAATCTTCAAACACGGTCTATCAGGGTCTAGTTCTCTTCTGTAGGTCGCCTCGAGTTTAAGCCCCAGGCCATTCTTGCAGATGCCCCCAAAAGTTGGGAGTGAGAATGGAAGCTGTTTTACGCTTATTGCTATTATTGCGAGTATTACGACTCTTACCATGATGGCTATGTCTACTGATAAGCAGTTCAGGGGAAACAAGGAGCTCGCTTGAACAGTCGAGCAGCTTGTTCCACAAGTCTCTGGCTTGGTCGAGGGCCGCTGAGTGCATCGTATGCTCTGAATTGGCCTTCTCGAGGTTCACCAGGGCTTCGCGCTTCTTTCTCTCCTGGAGTTAGGGAATGCCACTGACCTCAGCAACCGCAGAAGAAGAGCCGCAGTTTCTCCACAAAAACGTCTCAGAGCAAAAGCGCACAGCAGCAGGTACCAGCAACAAACAACTGTGATTTCCCCTTGTCTCCTCCTCCTCGCAGGCTGTCTCCTGTCTCTTTGCATCTTCAAGGAGTGCCATCTTCTTGGCGGCGGCGAACTCTAGCTTGGCTTTCCTGCTGCTTGCCTCTCAGGGTTGTACTAAACCTAGTCCAAGATTTCTGCAGGGTTTGGGACCTAAACAAGACGTCTCTGTTAAATCATAGCCCGGTTCAAGAAGAGTCTGAATCAGGTTCTCATAGGTCATCCCCTGCCCTGCCTCGTCCTGCGCGTCGCTCAGCGCCTTGACCTGGACCTTCGAAGACCGCGCGGCACCCTGGAGAGCTCTGCTGATCGCACCGGGCACCATCGCCATCCGCTCCTTGTCACGGCCCTCATGGACTCCGAGGAAGGATGCTCCAGGCTCGTTTCGAGTCGCGGTCACTCCGAGGCTGAGGGCCAGGAGTCCCAGACCCAAAGCTCTGCAGCTCATGGCGAGTAGGCCCGCGTCGGCTCCAAGGCAGTTTTGCAAACTCAATTTGGCAAATCGACGAAAAAGCTTGGACAGCTTCAGTGGCTGGGCGAGGAGAAAGACTCCAACGCAAGTCTGCTAGGCCCTCTTTGCCCTATTCTACCCTCTTACCCTCTGCCGTCATCACATAGCTCATCCTGTGGCCTTACTGGTAGTACTGCAATCGCCGCCCTAACTTTACAAATCTTCTGGCCTTGCACCAGCCACGTAGCCGGATCAGATGGGAACCTCTGTGCGGCAGGGCTGCAAAGTGCAACACCAGTACCGGGAATATTGCTGACACTGAAATGCCAGCATAGGCAGCATAGGCATTGTGAATTCTGTTGCGACCCTTCCATGCGTGTGGTTTCATGCTCGCCGAAGACGCGAGCAACACAGATTGGGGCAACTGCGGATTCCAGAGCCCGAAAAGCTGCGTTTGCCAAGAGTCGGGCGGGAACTCACCGCGCCAGCCACTGGCCAGCCCTGCACGTGGGCCTAGGATCAATCGCACCCAGGTGCACCGTCCCGGCACCGCCAGTAATTTCCAGGCTGGCAGGCAAGTTTCCGGCTTGGGCCAGCCCAATTTGCATGGAAACAAATTGCACTAGGGGCTAGGGTGACCTATAAGCAATACTTTTGGTGATTAGATTTACTAGATTGCCAGTAGACAGGTGTAAGCAAGCTGATGAATTGATTATGTGGAACCACTCCGCAGGCACATGGATGATGTTCGGGACTGCGAACAAACGACTAAATACAAGCAGCAACAAAGTGTCGAACACAGAAACTACCCGAATTTCGGCTTAGGCTTCCTGCGGTGGGTTTGTGAATTCCTGTGCTTCAGGTTTCAGGTCCTGAGTATCCGGCACACAGCCTGGAAACAACGGGCCTTGGTTTGCGTGTTTGTTTTCTGGCACGGCTCGTATGCAGGAGAGATCGCATGTTTTTGATTAGGCGACTGCGCGTAGTTCAGAATCCACACCCTGACCAAGCACACAATCTCCGCATTTTTCTATTTAAGAAGGCTGTCACAACATGGGATTTGGGTGCTTGAACTTCATCTTTCGCGATTCTGTCGGGGTTGTGCGAAATCTGTTTCGGGTAGCAAGCGTGTAAGTATGTGCCGCTGCCTGCAAGGCTTCAAACCGAGGAAGTGTGATCGAGCTCTAACCTCATATGGCCCTTCTTCGCTCTCTGAGGATGCCGCAATAGTGCAAAGATCCTTAGGGGCTCATTCAACTCTATCAAGGCTTCGGATGGTCATGTCGAAGCTTGGCATCTCTCCCTCTCTCGCATGGCCCCCCCCCCTCCCCCCAAAGGGAGAGCCGCCCCGAGGTGCCACTTAGATGATTTCCAATGTAAGAGGCTTGATCTTGATCGCCCACTCTTTTGCGGCAGATCTCCGCCCAAACACGTGCTAACTTTCGGTTCTGGCACCCCTCCAAGAAGACAGGATCCATTCCTGGCTCCTTTTCCTGCCCGGTGACCTCTTGAGCCCCTAGAAAGGCCATGCTGTCAGGGGACATGCTGCAAAGGCCACACCCCAAATGGCGTCTGCGTGCCACACAAAACAGACATGCCACAACGTGGGGCCCCACAGCGTACAACCTGACAAAAGAGCCCTGATTTGGACGAAACCTCTGGATGCCTGACATCCCCTTGGCTCTCCAACTTTGCGTGCGCGGACTGAGCTCGCGACGCCTCCTCCTCAGGGAGGACCTCAGTGCTCCAAGGTGGGTTTGCTCTACAAGTAGCTCGGTTTCTTTCCTGCTCGGATTGATGACTGTGGGAAAAAAAGCCTTGAGACGTGGCGCAGCAAATCATGATGCACAGACGAACATTGATGTCAGATCATCAATCTTTCCTGTGCACTCGGCTCATCCAAGTATGGAGGTTTCGACTCTCACACTCGCACGGGAAGCGAATTCACGATCGCCTGTTAAGAGCCAGGTGATGCACACCATAGCGGCCAGTGTTGACGCTGGCATACCGACACTAGGGCAACGCATCCACGTCATGGATCAGGATTTAGTATTGGATTGTAGCTGAGAGACAAGAGAAAAGATGCGCCAATGAGGCTTCTAAACCGACTCCTGCACCCTAGGACCGCTAGGAGACATGAGAGTCTCTTCTGGGACCCTGGGACTCTTCAGGCTAAGACATGGCAGCCGCAGCTTGGGCGAAACATTCCATTGGCATGGAGAACGTCAGGGACGTTTGAAACCCGGCCCCAGCGCAGGGCCGCATGGCAGCACGGACTTTAGGGGTTTTGCTTTAGTGGGATACATACTGAGGTTTCAGGGCTTATAGAGGATTCAATAGAAAGGGTGTTGAAGTTGGGGGGTCGAAACCAACCATACTACGCTACCTGCACAAGTCGTAAGTACACTGGTGGTGGCAACTCTTGCGCCAGGCCCTGGGCGAAATCGAAGATGTTGGAGGATGTATGCACCTGAGTAAGCATGGCCCGCTACATATTTCAGGCTTTGCGAAAACGGGACGATGTGAGGTATGCAAAGCAGCCATGATGGGAACACTCTTTCGGCTGGTCCGCGCGATCTGGTGGTTTAGCGAAGCGATAGCTTGATCCTGAGTGACGCCGGGCCCTGCACCGAAAAGCAGCTCTCTGGTGCGGCGCGGCTGCAGAAAGCCGATGCCTGGGACCGTCTCTGGGAACCCTAAGGCGCTCAGAAGCAGCAAGGCCGGGAAGAACTGAAACATTGCCGGCCCCGCCCGTGATGCGAAGCCATGGGCGATCAGGTTGATTACGGAGAGCTGGCACCTTTAGAAGTGTTGCTGCTTCTGCTTTGAGATTCGGCCGTGGCAAACCCACTAGTTCCCGACATGAAGTAGGCCCTTCTGACTGTCGGCCCTGAGTGTGCAGGCCCTCATTGCCACCGAAGCCACTCTGATTTGGGTTCGATAGGGTACTCAAGCGAAGAACTCGTTTTGATTTCGCAAGGAAGGGGAAAATTTCGGTCAGCACAGAATGTGCCAAGACACAAAGTCGACTCAATGGGAATCGAAGTCGTGGTTACGAACATCAAAACAGCAATTCGTGTCTTGGATACCCCACAACTGAATGAACTTGAAACACACATCAACGCTTGCAATTTCATTTGAAAGGGTGAACTCTCGCTGACATCAATCCACATCAAAACCATGTCCCTGATGTGCTTGGACCTTTCGAAGTACTCTTCAGGAAATCTACGGCTGTACAGATTTGTCAGAAACAGGAAGGCAGAAACTTGAAACTGACAGTGACCACCCACCCGTCCACACCCCCTCGCACTTGCTGTTTGATGGGATGCTCACGCGAGGCACATAGTACAGATGTTCATTGTGGGAGAAGATCTATGAGGAGGAACGGTGTGGTATGTGGATATGTTGGTGTGCTGAAGGCTATGCTGAAGAACCACTCATGCTTCCAAGGCTGATCCATGCTGTGTGCTTGTCTAGGGCTGTTTGTAGTTTCCCCATACTCTGCGGGTGTGACGCCAAAGGCAGCTGCTGCACTTACAGTACCACATGCTGAACACCATTTGCTCCACGGACGAAAGCTCCACTGTTAAGATGAAAGTTCCGATGTCGAACCGCAGGCCGCCAATGATGTATCAATGCACAGCTTGCAGCATGAAACTCAAAGGACAATCACGCAGGTGCATGGTGTTACATCTGCCATTGCGGGTCAGTGGATGGTAGCTTCCGGCCGCTAAAACGTCGTTATTCTTTGAGTTTCTTGCGCTTCCACGTCTCTTTTTGTTGCGTCGCGCAAGCTCCACTAAGGCCCTGGCGAACCCATCTTCTCAGAATTTGCACTGTCACTCCAGACCTTAAGCAGCGAGACACTTGGGGGTTCCCGTTTGATGAGAATTCTTCACTGTCTCTGTTTCAGGTTTCAGGGCTGGCATGTCGCAAATTCTGTGCTTGTGTTCCCGGATGACCACACGTGTCAAGTTGACAGCATGCGCTACGGATGAAAACTCGAGCTCAAAAAGCCCTGAATGTGAAACTGCCTCCGAAATATGGGGGTCTGCGACGCTAGGGGTACCTTATTGGGCTTATTATAAGAGGATCCTACTCTTTGGGGGTCTATATGAGGGTACCCCCCTAGCCGTTCAGAGCCTTCGCAAGTTGCCCCCCTCGACTTCATGCACTCGGCCCTTTTCATCGTACGCTTGCGGTGGAGCTCCTTTTCCAAAGCTCTTCCTGCTGCGTCTGAGGCAACGCTGCCATCTCCGCAGTTTCCTCTGTTAGCAGCTGTAGACAATCAGGCTACAGTACTAGTATCCTGCTTTTCTATCTTTCTCAACAACTTTTCGAGTTCGTTTTTGGAACTAGGGGTTAGGGTGTGTTCCAATGATTCGAATCTGGGCCATGCGCACCTTGAAGTAGAGAAGCTCTACCAGTTGATTGAGCCGAGGGGCCACCATCATCTGTAGACAGGGCTGCTCCTGCCATGGGCAACCAGCAAAGTGTCGGACAAAGTTGCTCGGCCGCCACTCGTGAGCCATCCAGTCCACCGAAGCTGGTGGCACGAAGGCATTGAAGTGTGCCTTCTGGGCATCACCACAAAGCTCAGAAATCCCCAGCCCTCTAAATGTCAGGACTATCATTTTGGGCAGTCCAAAGCTGTGTGCCTGGTGAACAAGGCGAACCTCGGGGGGATAGCTGAAGTCTTCCAGGCCCATCTCCAAGGCACCTCGCACCATCTGCCAGAAGAACATGGACTGGTCCTGATGCGAAACACGGCGCGAACAGCTCTCCAAACCGCGGGCTATCCTAGAATTCCTACACTGCGAGCAGTGCAACTACCTCGTATAGCTGTCGAGGGTCCCATGCGACGGTGAACGTGCTGCTTGCCACACGCTCCAGAAATCTAAGGGACCATGCAGAGTTCCGGAGCAAGAACACCCCGGTGTTGATGCCACCAGGGTCTTCGGCCACAAGGAAGTGTGCAAAGTCGCTGTTGCCAGGTGATGGCTGTGCATATGTGTTGATCAAATCAGATATGGACGTGGTAAAGTCAGTAAAGAAAGCATCGCAGTCAACGAAGAAGACCCAATCTGGTGCTGCATCTTCTGGCTGGTTGGCTTGAAAAGCCCAGTGTGCCCGCTGCCCCGTCATCCTCTGATACACAACGTACATTTTGCTGTAGTGTGCCTCACGATCTGGGAGAGCACTCTCTGTGTGCACAACATACCGGTAGCCATGCCTCTGAGCATATGCTTGATGGTTCGGCACGGACAGGCCAAGAAGTGGTGACTCGAGCGTCGTTTTGGATGTCGGGTCGGGCTTGTACGAGCCTTGGCACTTGAGACAAGCGCAGGTGCAGACCGTGCTTCCCTTGACCTATTGGGCTTCATGCGTGCTGGCAGCTTCGGCTCTCAGTGTAAGAAACTCGTACATGTCACTGCACCAGGCTCCAGCTCGTTTGGATGTGTGGGGTGAGACTTTCATCGTGGTTGAACTTGCTTTCTTGAGCAGCTGCAAGGTGCAGCAAAATACCCACACAGCACACCGACAAAAACCTTAAGGGGCTAGACCAAAGTGTACCATGGTGCAGATCGAGTGGATCTCAACCCGTCCAAAGGCGGACCCGCGCATCCAAGGCAGTGGTTGGACGCGAAGAGCGTCGTGTAACTGTCCCAGCATGATCCTCGTCTGCTAAATGTGATGCTACCCTACCAGACCCCGAAAGGAGAGCACGGTTGAAGCCACTCTTCCTTGCTTTAGACGGTCATCAGTGTAGCCTTTAAAAACTGCAGGTGATTTACGCAGTTTTCGCATGTTCCGGACCGAATTTCTACCCCAGGTAATTTGCGAGGTTTTCGCTTGCTAAGGTTCAGGATTTCGGCGCCATCTGGGACCAGATACTACGTATGTTCCTTGGAGGCTTACCAACAAAAAACTGCAGCATTTGGCTTCCCCTCGAAATGGCGGATGGCGAGGGTTCCATCAAGAACCGGAACTCTATGCTACCCAAATGCGCACCCAGCGTCTGGTATTGTATATGAAGTCGGGGCAGAAACCTCTTAGGAGGTGCGTTGGGCATGGCCTCAAGCGATGCGTCCGTAGGAGGGCCCAAGGTGTCCTCTCTTGGCACATGAGTGTCTCCAGTCATGCCACAAGGCCATCCCCCTCTCGAGACCTTGTAAAGATTCATCCCCTGTGGCTAAGCGCGACGACTGCTAGCAGAGCAACCTTTTTTAAACATTTGAGCACTGTCACCTTGATTTCATGGTAGAGGGATGCAAACTCCTTCAAGGCCTGGAACTTGAAGGCATTTCCTGACGAACGGGTTCTTCAGAACTGCTGATTCTACCTTCTGGTCGGAGAAATTGGCACCATCGAGTCATGCAGGCATGGGCAGGCTAGGAAAGGCACCATGGTTTCACTGGACCGGCTGTCGTGTCATGGCATCATCTGACTGAAATCCCAGCCCCTGGGCTAGCAGATCAGCTTCGTGTTCAATCTAGCTAAACCCTTTTGCATCCGGACTCCCGTGGGTGCTGCCAGAAACTGCCCAAGCACAGGTTCCCAGTGCTACTGACTGGACTCCCATACTCGGGCACAGTCTCAAACATGAGAACAAGATGATCATCTCGCAACATATCGTAGTGGAGATTCCTAAGCATGACGAAGTGTTCTTCAATCGTGTAAGTGGTCTAGCTAAACAATAAGCCCTAAACCCCATGAGCCCAGATGTGCCCAGGAGAGCCCAGGTTCCCAGTTGGATGAGAATGCGGGCGCGACGAGGATGATCCAGTGATAAGGACCATTCGGCGGTACCTGCATGGCGGCGCTGGATTGGTTTTCTTGTTTACTCAACTCCGAAGAAAAGCCATTGCGCATCTCGAGTCTACCAGTAAGAATGCCCAGTAGAAGGGAAGAAGCAAGCAGCAAGCTTCACTGGGCCCCAGAAAATCATTGCAAGCTTCTGAGCCTCGCTCAAACAATGTCTTTGGGGCGCCCTGAAAGTGCAAGCTAGCCAAAATTGCTGCGAAGGAGGGTTTCCAAACAATTGCACAGCTGACTCAACACCAAGATGCTCTGCAGGTGCTGCGCAGCTAAGGCCGGACATTGGAAGGCAGCATCCAGGTGACTATCGAACCTGTGAGGACGGCTGCTGAAGGGCATATGCGCTTCTTCTTCGAGGGCTTGGGGCTCCTGCGGTCAATTTTGCAGACACTGCGGTGCTATACGCGTAAGCGCCCATGCTGGAGTCTGCCCCAAGAATCTGCAGCTCATCCGGACAGATCGAACATGTAGGTTAGCCAGCTTCCAACTCCAAACACGTTCGCGGGAACTAAATACTGCAAAATTGCGGTGGTTTCTGCATGTCCAGCCGCTACCAAGAATATGCCCAAACCTGCAAATCACACCATTTACCGCATGCCAGCCAGCTTGAAAGTGCTCCGTTCTTGGTGGCGCAGCGCTTGGCTGTCCACAGGATGCACGTATTCTACGACAGGATGTGAGGGTATGGAGCAGGCTATGGGCTGCAGATGCTGGAGATTGCCGCGTTTCCAGTACTTTAAGGGCTGTAACTTTAGTTGTTTGAGTAGTTTACAGGGTGTACCCAAATATTGCACTTCACACTATCGATGTACTTTAGCCAGCTCGAAAGTGCTCCACATCATGGCAAATAAATACTCTTCATGTTGAAACACAAATCGTTTTTCATGGCACGATCATCCTTCGCAGGTAAACTTGCAGATCTTGCAGCTTGCGCGGCTTCACAAGCAACGTGCCGGGGGCACAAACCCCCCCCCCCTCCTGTTTGACACTTGATGGGTGCGACTAGTTTAGCAAGGATTCGTACGTTTAACGATCTCCCGTATATGGCAAGCTTGCAACCTGCGCCGATTAAAACAAAAACAGCGCGCGCCAGTCGACGGAAACAGCATGGAGTATCTCATTAGAGTCTCGTTCAGTCAGGCTTGTTTATGATGCTCTGGCAAACTGGGCGTTTCTGATGTGCTGTTTCTGAGTCGCAGTTTCTGATCCGCGATGCGCGTTTTCAGATTCGAATGGGTTTCTGATGCGCAGCTGCTGAGTTGCAGCTTCCGATTCTTGATCCGCAGCCACTCCCTCCATTCGCAAACACGTTGCGCGCATATGACAGGTTGAGAAAGGATTCGTGCGCAACTTGAGCAAGAAGTCCTTTGTTCATGCCCTGTTCTTCCTGATTAAGGGGACCTCAGGACTAGCACACTGCCGGAACAAAAGGACCACAGGACCGCGGGCCCAGGCTTGCCAGACCTAAGAAAAGGGAGAAGGGAGAGCCAGACCTAGGAAAACAAGACGCCTAGACCCATCCGACTGCATAATTATACATACCCCAGAAGCTTCCTGCAAAGCCCTGCAAGGAAACTGCCGTATGTACCGGACAGGAGGCAGCTGCAGCAGTGCTGTCAGCCAATGACCCAACCTCGAGGAGCTGGTTCGGTAGACAGCGCAATCAGCCCAAGTCTCTAAAACACAGCGTGGGTCTCATGTATTCCCAAATTTTGCGTGGTTGAATCGATTTTCCAGGCCCAGTTGCGCAGCGGCGCGGCTTTCCACACCGAAGCTGCCTGCCAGGTGCGCCCGGGCCTCCATCTCTTGAGCAAACTACACTGGGCTGTAAAGGTGTTGGCCGGGCTTTGCACAGAGGTACAGTGTCAGTCTTGAGTGAAGACACTTCCCATTCAATGGCTTCGGACATGGCCTCGACTAATTGCTCCTTGCGCTACGCCGCTACGCTGCACTCATGACTGCCATTTTGCTGGGCTCACTCCCATGATCTCCCATGCCTCCAAGGATGCGACAGTTGGCTCTCGCCACGCTGCCAAGGTTGCTGGATCCTTTGTGGCGATGAGGCACTCCTGTGACAGCATTGTCCACCCTAACCCTAACCCCCTACGCCGTTTTGCGACCTGACTGCCCTTTGAGGATTCGGTCTTTAGGACTTGGGATCAGGTTAGCGTAGCCTATTTCGAAGCAGCAACAGCAGCTACAGCAACCGTTTCTGACAAGCTTTGGCGTTTAGAAGCTTGCGAAACCTTACGTGCATGCCGCTTCGGGCAGTCAAGTGAGGACATAGGAGCCCAGCGGCCAATTACTAGGTGACGATTGTCATCAGCAGGGCTGACTTGGCCTCTTCCAACAGTGGCACCACCACTCCCTCGTACGGGGACTGTGCTGCAGCCGGCAGCAAAGCCAAAGCAAGGGGCAGCAGCACCATCGAGAGCTGTTGCGCAGGATGTCTTGCTGTATACAAAGGGCAGATGGGTTGGCTGACTCAAACTGCTACCCATGGTCACGCTATTATGAAGCCGAGCTACGGCAGCTCACCACAGCTGGCAGCATGTCACGGGGTGTGGGATCCCTTTTGTGATGAGTCGCTCAAGGGCTTGAACATGTTTCCCAGATAAGACGCCTTGTGCACCTTGGACCACACTGAAACCAAAGCCAGCTTGCCGCGCACTTGTGCAGCAGGTTTCTCAGGCTGCTGCCAGAAGCCCAGGCCAGCTGTCGAATCTCGGGGAAAAGGCGATGAAATCTACTTTGGGCATACTTCAGCAGCTAAGCCTGAAGCCCCACACAAGTGAGCTTGTACAGAACTGAATATTACACAAAGCAGCAACCCGTGCAACCTTGCAGGCGTGCTATGGCTATGCGTTGTTCTCGGGTTTTTCAGTCTAGTTGCCCTCATGATTGACTAGTCCCAGCGCTGATCTCTCCATACTGACCGTTGGGGCTTGCCCGATGAACTTGGCGCTCCTTTGCACTGACAATCTGGCTCAGGAGCGCGCTCCACACGCAACCTCAGCAAATGTGCTGCTTGTTCGTCGGAGTCTTCAATCTCTTCATGATCTTCATGCCCTGGACATCCCTGGACCACTGCAACGACTTCGAAGCCCTCCTTGAGCTGAAATGAATGCGTGCCTGCCCAAAATGCTCCGTTTCGGTCTTCACGACGAGCGACATCGATCATGCTAAGGTGTCCACCCCATGGCCTCAAACTACATTAAGCTGAATTCGCCTCGGCTTCCAGCCGAGAAGCGTCTATCTCCTCCCCTTTTTGCCCCGACCCCCAAACTTTCTGTACACCCCCCCTCCCCCGGCCCTGGGACCCGTAAGACCCTTCTGGGACCCTCCTGGGACCCCCCCCTCTGACACCTTTGCCTGCGCCCTTGTCTCCCTCTGCTCTGGGCCGGCCCGGCTGCCGAGGCGGCGCGCAAGCGTTTAAAACTAAGCTACTCAGCTACTATCCTCAGGTCTAAGCCGCCAGCACGCAGCTGTGCTGCCGGCCGTCTGGGTCCACCTTGGTGGCATGCACCTGGGTTCAAAGCACAGCGTATGCGGATCACGCGGCATAGGGTGGAGCAGGCAAACGGCTTGCAGTGCAGAGCTTGCGATGCATCTTTAGGGAGAGGGTACCGGTACTTTAAAATCTTTAGAAACTGTAGAGCGCGCGCTGGGAAGGGCCGAAGGTCACAGCTGCCTTTTTTTCGCCTCCATTCGCCTTCAGATCGCGCTTGGCGACACCGGCCTTCAGAGAAGCGAGCAGGGGCAAGATGAAGGGACATGATGATGCAAAGCGTGATGCTCAAGACCTTGCGCCTCGGACAATCAAAAGGGGCAGCACTGCTGTTCCACATTCTTTGATTCAATTCAAAACATGTCTGATCACACGTCTGGGAGTCGCTCGCAACTTCGTCCATCTCAGGGCCGCCAAGTCCAGCCATCTCCGGATGGGCGACCTCCAAAGGGCTCGCTGGACATGGTCCACGATCATTGGTGTGTGACCCTTCCGTGGGTGTCCATTTTCAGCAACGGGCTTGCATCCTTTCCCTCGTTGCCCTTTACCTTCAGGATCTGATATATCATTACAAGTCTCACGATCGTCAAGGCCCACAGCATGCATGGGCTCCTGAACTCCACCATCAACTCAAGCTCTGACAGCACCATCCCTCCCTGAACCTGGATGATGAGTCCACGCTCGGCACGGCCAGCTGGCACGGCCACCTCCACTGATGAACCCTTTTTTGCAGCTTGCCTCTTTATTTGGTAATTGCAGCAGACCGTCTGGGGGACTGATGAAGGTTGGGCCCTCACAGCAAGGGCTGCTCAAAGAGAGCAGGTGCAACACAACTGGATCATGTGCACAGCACCTTTCACCCTCGTTGTACTTACTTGGAACACAGGCCCATGTTTGGTGCGATGCTCATCTGAGACTGGCGCTGCCGGGTTTCCGCCCTTGGCTTTGGGTGTTCCCTTGGCCTCAGAGACGTATTGGCACGCTAGGGATTTTCGGTACAAGAGTCTCTGGGTGGTGGTATTTGGATTCTCAGAACCTGTGCAACCCCTGTTTGCAGGCACTGAAGCAGCGCGTGCTCGCATACTTCCAGTGCCCATGGCAGGCCAGATTTTCGACATGCTGACGCCGCAGCCCCCGCACTGTGTCCTGTAGCTTGATGGGCTTTCCGTCCCCTTACTCAACCAACCACTGCTCGCACCACAGCCTCTCAGAAAAGGCGCAGCCTGCAATACCCGATAAAAAGAACCGGTTGTGCCTGCAAGACTGTGGCTTAGGCTTTGTCTGAGGTCCAGTGCCCGACTTCGAGCAACAAAGGCCCAGTAACGGTTCAGTAACGCAGAGCTGTGGCCCCTGCCACAGCCTTGGCAGCTCCTCCTGAGCAACCAAAGGTGAGGGCTGAGGGATGCTGAGGGCTTCCGTCTTGCTGCCACGGCTGCTGAACACAAAGCCCATCAACCAGCCTATGTTGCAGCCACTCAAACCCTCTGGAGCCAAGCCGTCGACCTCCCAATGGCGAACGGCGATGAGTGACATGGAAAACGCTCCAGCGTTTTGGATGTCGCTCTGCTCAACTCAACCTCTTTGCCTCTAGGTCTCTCTTTGTATCTCACGCAATGATGTAGTTGTGAGTGTGTGTGTGTGTGTGTGTGCGTGATGCACACGTGTCGTGCACTGATGCGATCAACCTGATCACGCCCGAATTGCACGCAGCCTGTCCTTTCTTGCCGCCTTTGCCCGTGGGGGGTGTCTGGCCAGCCTCAGGCGCCTGCACATGGCAGGGGGGAAACAGGCGTAACAAGGACTAAATCCCCAGAATCTAGCCCGAACCTCCAGAACCAATGGGCCCCGAACTCACAGAATGCAAGCAGCGCCTCCACACCGATCACAGCAGCCAAGCGTGAGCGGATCACCAGTGTCACTCCATCCCGGACCTCCTGTTTGTCCAGGTGTTGTACTTAGGGGTCATGACGTGCTGAGAACCCATGATGCAGCTACGAGAACTGTGATGGCAGTCATGTTGAGCATCCAGAACTCGCCACTTCAGGTGCCAATCAAACAGAACGACAAACATGCAGGTGTTCGGGACTGTTCGGATGCGTTACGACGGAGAATGGATACTGTTTACGGGATCTCATGGGTCCTTTTCCCCATTTTGGGTGTGAGGGCATGTGAGACTTGGGGCGGGACCTGGCGTTCCTCAGTACTTTCGGACCCCAACATCGGCAGGACGTCTTCGGGCGGCCTCTTGGGCCCTTGCGGGACGAGTCTGATATGGTCGTGTGACTCAATCCTAGTCATCCAAACGGGGTCGCGGAATGTAGGTAGCTAGCTTCGTGTCCACAACAACGGCGACATTTTGCCGGCGCCAAGCTAGGGCCGTGCCAGCACAAAACATGGTGACTTTCAACTCCGCTGTTACCTCTTAGCTCGCAATGCCGAGAGGAGAGGCAAGAGCCAAGCTAGCGGTGCACATCCAGAATGTTAATTTAGTAAAAAACAAAAAAAGAACCAGAGGGCAGAAGCCAACGGGCTGTAATCCAGAATCCAGAAATTGGAGCGGCGTGGAGCAGATCGGGGAATTGACCGAGGCGCAAGCCTCCTGTTCAAGACTGTTCCGATGCTTCTTACACTGTGTATGCTATCGAGTGGCAAGGGCTACACCCGCGCCTTGGAGTTTTTGGAAATGTAGATAGGAGGGGCGGGGGCGCCTCATAACGAAATTCTAAACTTGACCTGAGCACTCATAGTCTTATCCAGCGGCCAGCCCACATTTGTTCTGTCGCCTTCTCGGGACGCGCAACTTCACCTAACACGCCGCGATTTCCGCCTTGCTGCCTGCGAAGGTCCATGACGACGCGCTTCGAAGCTTTCGCCGGCTCTTGGGCTTCTGAATTGAGTCGTTGTCAAAAACCCGTTTTGAAATCGTTATCCTACATCTCATCCTAAGCAAATCACTGCGGCCGCCTACTAAACTTACTTGAAGGTCTGAGAAGTAAACATGGACGAACATGAAGCTAGGACTTTTGTAGCTCAACAAACAAGCTGTGAAACTCCCCCTTCACACCTACATGCCTCGGTTCGGTACCTCAGGCTGTTTGGGGAGGCTCGGAAGTTCTGGGGCTAATGGCTGACTGCCCTGAATTGTTACGGGTAGAGTATCGGTGGGGGTATCGGTAGGGTATCGGTAACGTAGCACTCAGGCACCCTGCTAAGAACTTGATCTTGCACGGCTTCTATTGTTGAAACGTGCTTAGGGTTTGGGGTTTCGGCTCTCACAGAGGACAAGCTATGCTGAGCACTGTTCAGGGTATCGGGCGGGGTATCAGTAATCGACCTGGTTCACACAAACCGCTGCGGCCCTTCTGTTCAACATATGTAAACCACTGCGGCCGCCCAGAGAAAACAAGGCTTTCAGACACGGTGGGTCGGGGCAAGAGGTGGCCTAATTGAACGGGTTTTTGATTTTGACTCAATTTGGGATGTTCCCTTAGACTCACAGTCCTTAATAGGGATTATACTACCCCCTATGATAATCCCTACTAAGGACTGATCGTACAAAGGGGGAACATCCCAATCCTGAATACTTCTGATTACCCCACTAAACCCCAAACCCTAAACCCTAAACCGCGGCTGGTTAAGCCTTGAAGTCGGCCAGGGGCTTCTCGACCCGCTCGCTGCCAATGGACAGGCGCGAATCCGACCACTTCAAGGTCTCGCCTTTGGGAGGGTTCAGGGTTTAGGGTTTAGGAACAGTGAGAATTTTTCTGGCTTTTTAAGGGCAACAGTGAGTATTCCTGGCTCTTAAGGCTAAGGGCTGAGTATCAAAGGGCTGAATACGAACAAAAGCCATCACCACGTCACTACGACTAGGACATGCGTGAAACCGGGGATGTCAATGAGAGCCGAGTCGGAAGGCAAACATCACCTGCAAGCCCCCCTAACCCTCCCCCAATCTCCAATGACATCAAAATTGCCAAGCTGCACCGCTTGCTTGTGAGCGGCGGGCCTGGGCTGACAGAAGCTCGAACAACTTGTCTAACATTGAGATGCGTTGAAGTTTCGTCGGTTTCGTGCTCGCTTAGCCGCGCAGTGCATGCCTGGAGCAAAAAGGCGTGCGAAGCAGGGTTGGGTTGCAGAAAACACCTCTCACAATCACAGCCTGTTCTCTCCCTTCCCAGAACACCCTAGACTCCTAGACATGAGCCATCACAGCTAAAGGCGGAAGGTACCCAAGGTTCTGGGGTGCTAGCCAGCACCATGCACGGCCAGGATTTCGAGGGTGTCCTGGAACAGCCGATGTTGTAGAGTCCCTAGGGAGGTTTGTTTTCAGCCTTTTGTTGAGGAGTTGAAGGCCTGTGAATCCACTGTTTGCTGCAACGCCACCCCGTCTTGAAGACTACATGGCGACTTTCCACAGCGCCACGTGCACCCTGTCGAAGAAAACGCTCGTTGTCCAATCACACAGCGTTGCCCTCACGAATTCGAACCGTGGCGGCGACTATGGCAGTGGCGTCGTGCACGGTGTGCGCAAAGATTCCAGATTTTCATGAGGCTACACTATGCTTGAGCTAGTGGCTTCTGACGGTTTTGGCGAGTTTAGAGTGACAAGCCCCACAGTTTCGACAAAGCTGTCATGCTTCTAGAGATGGCACGGAGGAGCACCTCCTAGAAGGGTCACAGTTGCAGCGGGCCTTGACATGTCGTGCGTACACGCAAAGCTAGAGAAGCTCTTAACAACTTCGTCCCCCGCGCCCGCCTTTGGCAGCGAGTCGTTCTTGCCGGAGGGCTCAGGGATGATGTTTTCTTTGTCTTTCTCATCCTGACAGAGAAGTGCTTGCAACTCATATGCCCGGATGTAACCCCAAGCTCCATGGCCTCCTGAAGGCATCAAAGTGAAACGTTAGTAGGATGTCTAGGTCCCCCCCGCCCGCACCTCTGCCTGGAGCAAACCTTTGAAGCGCTCCGCCAGCATGTCCTCGCAAGCATTTCCCGAGTTGCCGATGCTCTGACCCTACGGGAGGGCGGCTGGCGCTTCTTTTGCCGGTCTAGCTGTGAAGGCAAGGGGCGGTGCGTTAAATTTAAAGTGGTTGCAAGGCCACGCTCGCAGGTGGAGCTGCCAACTGCGGCACAAGAACTTGGATGCCGTTCATGCGTGGACCCATCTTGGCCTTGGCATCTTATTAATCGAGCCTTGCTCAGCCATCTGGGATGTGACGCACGGAAGCGGCTGAAGCGTCTGGCAAGCAAACTGCACTACACTTGCACCAGAAGCGCTCGTTACAAGCCGGTGCTTGCGCCGCTAGCGAACGCTCAGTCGGCTGCACGTGGCACTGCAGGTGTGGGATGAAGCCAGTAGGGTCACAGCTGATCCCGTTGTTGCCTGTGGCAACACTCACTTCCCTTTGTGGTCGTTCGTTTTCGGCGCGTCTTCATTGGTCCGTCTCATCGTCGTCCAACTCGTCTTCTTTCGCCTCGTTGTTGGCCTGAGCTTCTGCTAGTCTATTCTTGGCCGGCTCGGCTCAGTGGCAAGAGAAATGCAAGGTGCTCTGCTGCCATGTAATTGTAGGTGACAGTATTCGGTTGTCCAGGCCATGGGAGTGTTGTTCTACTCGGTCTTTTCCCCCAGCGCAAGATTCATGACATCCGGGTCCAGCGGCTGCGGCGGTCTTCTTGTAATCCAGGACTGGGGCTTGAACAAAAGAATATCTTTTGTAGAGAACAACGTTCTTGTCTTTCATCATGCTCCAGTCATCGTCAGGTTTCGGGGAAGGGGACCGATGCAGTAGCCTCAGCTGCCTCATCTCCCGGCAGACCAGGCCATGGCATCTAAACTATTGGTAGTGGCCGCTTCGGATCTGTTCCTGAATGAAGCCTTTTGCGGCCACCATGTATTCAATCCATTCACCTGCGAGACTTGCCACCGGCAAATGGTCAGGGTGTCCGAAGTCAAGTACCAAGCCAAGGCTGATGCTTAGTGACAGCGGCGCTCAGACGTGTTGATCCACCCAACCGCCTGAAATTGCGCGAGGGTCTGGTTCTTCGTGGCCACCATCTCTGTGGCAGCCTTACTTGAACGAATTAGCCGTGCAAGCTGTCCAGTGTGGGTAGAGTCTTTTGTGTGTTTGTTTGTGTGTGCCATGGCATACAAGGAAGCAATTACTTGAATCTGCCTGCATGAGCGCAGCAAGCTCCTTCTTCACTTGAGGGATTGCCTAGGAGCATGGAGGCGCCCTTCTCGCACTCGCCAAGGCCTGCACAACGGCTGCAGGAATGAGATCAGCTTGACACCCAATACCAACCACAGAACCCTCTCTCTGTATCCACCAGCTCTGGCAGCCTTTTCGTGAGTGCAGAGTAGTTAGAGTCGTCGAAGTTGCAGATACTGTCTTGGTCGCAACCCTAAGTACCCTGCGGCGCCCAGGAGCGCAGCTTGGAGTTCTTTCTCTTTGCTGAATTGTTACGAAGTTGGGGAGCCTCAATTGAAAGGTCCGAAAGCATCTGCTTAACAGGGCTCAATCCTCACCTCACCAGGATCACAAGGTCATCCGGCCCCAGTTCTTCGTCCTCCGCTCCGTGGCATAGTGTGGTCGATGCAAGCTTTGTTTATCTGACCGGGCAATTTTGTGTTGATGTAGAAAACTAGGTTGTGGGGTGCGGGCTTTGGGTTCGAGCTTTGGCCACATAGCTGGCAGTACATCTGCCCTGCTCTGTAAACCCAAATGAAGACTATCAAACACTCGACTGGCACACTGACTCAGAAGATACAGTCAGTACTTTGAGGCTCCAGATTTACATTAGGAAGACCTGACGAGCTCTTCCAACATCTGACATGCCGCAACAACCATGTGAGGCGTTTGCGGAGTCCTCGGCCATAACTTGCACAGCCACCTGTCACATGTTCGCATGGTGAAGTGGATTTCGTGCGTAAATCTCTTAGCCTTTACTACTCAAGACTTGAGACAGCTGACAGCTTGGGGTTTTGCACATGCTGCTTTGCGCGGTGGAGGGTTTTGTTTTTTCCTGGGTACTCGCTGCCCTTTTCAGGAAAACTTGTCATTTCAGTATATTTGATAGGACGAATAGGAAAACCTGTAGTTTCTCAACACTTTGTAGGAACCCCTCTCTTCCTCTATATTTCATCCTGTTTCCCCTATCATTTAATAGACGCCTCTGTTTTCTCTGCGTTTTAATGGAAGAACCTCCATCTCCTCTTTGTCTCTGTGTCAGTAGGACAACCTCTGTTCTTTTCCCTCTCCAGTCTCAATACACCAAGGAAAACCCTTGGTTTCCATTACAAAAAGAAGCAGGCGTGTTGGGGGGAGCCCCCCCCGATTTGCCAGCATAATAATGCAGGCATGCCCCTCCATTTCCGATACGAACAGAATAATCCTCGGTTTCCAAGAAGTAGACGGGAAGGTGGGTCGTGCAGTTCCAAACACTGCAACACTGCTCGCATGATGGATTTTCATGATGCTGGTTCTGGTAGGCTGTGTTTGAGTTTTGAATTTCCCGACGTTGTTTTTTGGGGCTGCCGAGGGGGGGCGGGGGGTGCACTTCCATGGTCAAAATGGTGCTTATTCCTCTGCATGACCCTGCCTGAACAGGTGGGGGAGGGGGGGGGAAGAAAAGCGTGGCCGAAAGCCAAAGCCGACAAGGAAAGGAAGCCGACGCGGGGGGGGGGGGGCGGGGGAAAAAGGCCAAGCCAAGCCGCATCCGACCTGACCTCCCCCAAAACCCGGAAGCCAAAAACCCCAAAACAGAAAAACCGGACCACAGGAGGGGGGGGGGCAGAGCGATGCACCGCGACGTAGCCTACTACCGGCGCGGGGGACGGACAACGGGCGGAGGTCTACTCCTACTACCTCAAGAAGATTCTGCAGCGCTGTAGAGAATGAATTGGGTGGCATATTACATTACGGGTGTTGCATATTGTTCCCCACGGAAACGAAAAAACTTTTCGCTGAAAGTGTAGTCTTTCACGGACTTTCGCGGGGACTTTGTTCGTATGATGTCAACGTGATACATACGCCACGAGTTGTACCGCGTTGGAGTTAGAATACTGCTCTGGAACAAGTAGCACAGCGCTGCTGCCACGTCAGGAAGTCAAGAGCAACCACAGAGCATAAATATAGCACCTTCTTTCTCGGTATCGCGGACTGCATTAACGGCTCTAGATGTCTCCTTCTAACGCTCAAAGAAGGAAAGAGGGGAGGTTTTACGTGCGTCATGAGGGCCCCGCCTGCCGTCCGTCACCAAAGCCCAGCAGCGAGCTCCTAGCACAAAGGCTTTGCCCCAGAGTAGCTGAGCATCCCATGCAATGCGGCACACCTTTCTTCGTGAGTGCAGCATAGACGGTGAGGTTGGCAACATGAAGCCTTGCCGCCGTGGGCCCAAGTGTAGATCTTGTATGAACCTGGAACTTTAAGGCTTCTGTACTGGATCCGACCCTCCTCAAGGTGCGCTCGTCACGGAGGATAGCGAACTGTTTGCCAGCTTGACCATCCTCGGATTTTATTGGGGGGGGGTGATCTCATGGTAAGGTCTTGGAGCTTAGGTTTGAAGCCCTGAAAAAAGATTTCTCGAGGGCTTCCTGCGACGATTTTTGTGAGGTTCTTTGGAGCCCGCGAGTCCAGAGGGGAGTCTAGGCATTCACGGATCGCATGCAAAGAGCTCGGATGTTTCTTTCTCTGCTCTCGTGCATCAGCTTTCTGTGGAAATCTGTACACACAGGTGGTCAATTGAGAGCATGAAGCCGTAAAGGCGCAAATGCGGACCTCTCAACATTGTCGGCCCCCCCTCTTCTTGTGACGTATGTCAAGCTGTGTAAGAGGGGGGGGAAATTGTTGAGATTGTTGAGAAGGTCAGAACATCAGAACATGGACTTCGCTCGTGCATTCTCTCTAACGGAGCTCCCATCACATGGGATCCTTTGCCGACCTTGTGGGAGTGTTGTAGGTCAGCCTGGGGTGCGTGCTCACCCACTCCTCGCCTCGCCGGGCCACCTTGGAGTCCGGAACCTTGCAACGGAGCTCCTGCTCGCAGTTCATTGCGTTGCGGGGGGGGGGAGCTTCTGTTCAGAGTCCTTGACCTGACGCCTTATCTATTCTCTTTCTTCTCTTTCTTCTACCCGGCTTTAGCCTCTTGGTCATCTGGCGATTGGAACGAAAATGTTGGCAAAACATGCACCCCTCTCCTTTGCCAGGAGCCTCATCACTTCGTCGCAGAGCCCCCAAATTCTCAGACTCGCACGCTCATCGTAGAAGGTCCTCTGCAGCCCAATGATGACCTTCGCTGCTCTCAAAGCATCTCAAAGTTATAACTACGACTCTGTGTGAGGAGTACCCCTGGGCAATCTCCCAAAAAGGGAATCTGCATGGCAGCATGGGAGCAATGCTTACTGGACAGACCGGCGACCAGCCCTTCGCCTTCGCCTTTCGCATAGCGCTCCGCCACCGCGCTGGGGATCTCATCCGAGGTCATGCCGCAAAGGGATGTTCCGAGGCTGACGCACAGCCGAGCGCGAAGGGACCAGGCCAGCAGCCATTGAAGCAGGTCATGCCGGAGGGTATCGTCCATCATCTTAACTTGATTCTTGGTGTCGCCCCAGGCACCATGGATCTCGTTTAGTTTGGCCTGCGGGAAGCCTGCTTTCTGAGCCAAGCGATCGTGATTCTGCTGAACCCAGTTTCCAATGAGCCCTTTCTCTCCCACAGCTGCAAGCGCATGGTGCGCGAAAGTAGGGGAGAGCTCCAGTCGGCTGCCAGTGGAGGCGATCTTCTTGTGGGGTGCGACGGAGCTGCCTGCCTTGGAGGCATAATCCCCAATGCCTGCATGCACGTTGTGTCTTCTGTTGAGACTTTGACGGGTGGCATGAAGATTTGTCCGCTGCGTTTTTGCTACTTGTGAGTATGCTTGATTGACTGGCGGTGGGGCGCTACAGAGATCATTGAACGATAATTCGGAGGTTTTCTGGGGCTGATCACGCCCAGAATCATCATGGTGGGCTCTTCAGGGATCATCATATTCTCTCAGCTACAGAAGCCAGGGCCTATCTTCTTTCCCTCTCCTTTGCAAAACCGCTCGGCCTGAAGCAGTGGACAGTCCTGCGCCAGTGTAGATCACTGTGTCGGCACCACCGCGCCTCCACATGTCTGCGAGCATTCGTACCTTCTCCTGACAAGGAGCTCAAGCAAACAGAATCCATAAATTTGCGGTACTCAGCAGGACTAGGAGGACTAGGAACCTGGAGCTGACATCCAGACTCTTCGAGAACAATCGTAAACCAAACCCTGACACGATGTCCTGAAGTACGTGTGCTTCGTCCAGGTACTCTGAGGCATCGTATGCCGCGTAGCCAGGCCGTGCCTCTCGGCCAGCAGCTTCAACTGGCTTTGCTTGTCTGCTTCTCTGCTGATTTACATTCTACACTACTTTCCTGTAGATTAGCGCAGATACTGCGCAGATGCCAGCAAGTACCTTCCTGAAGTGTAGAGTGGTACCCCCCCTCCCCTCTCCCCCCCTCTCCCCCCTTCTCACCCCCTCTGGAAGATGCTGGGACGTGTCCTCACTTTCGCTGTGCGCTGCCATACGGGGTGGTGCCCAGGCCATGCTTGCGCCTCGATTGCGGGAAAACCATCTCACCGCAAGGCGGGTACCACTACGAGCTTCCTTGAGACAGAACTTTCCTTCAGGAGGCTTTCCAAACGATGAAACCTGTGTTTTATACTTTGCCTGCAAGGGATGGCCAGTCCTCCCCGATTCGCACGTTTTGGGGAGTTGACATCCAAACTATGTCGCAAACTCTGCATGACGGGCTGCCTGCCAAGCCATGCCACCGCACCGCATCAGCATCCACTGCCGCCGCCTACAGTAGCATCTCAAATCTGGACAAATCTCGCTAATCAGTTGCTTGCTGTCTTGTTCGGGGGGGACACACGCAAAGAACCAACGCAGAACGCACACAGTGTGGGAGCATGAATTCGAAAAAACATGAACCTTGCGATGCCTCTGAGGTCGGGCTGGTCAAATGTTGCGACATGTTCTGCTCAAGGCTTGAAATATTTAAAAACATAGTTGTGCGCAACCGTTCTTGGAACAAACTTGTTGTTCCTGACACTTTCCTGACGCTGCAGTTTGTGCCTCACTCCGTCCCCCGCTCAGTCTGCCACTACTGCCGACAAAGTTCTGGAATGCAAAATCATCGTACCTAGTAAAGGGACTTCTTACTTGTGGTCAAGACCTTAAGAAGTGGGATACCTCTACGGAGATGCACCTTTGCAAAAACCGCTCGAAAGATGACGGCTGAAACGCGCTTGCTCATGCTTCCCACAGGGAGCCTGGACTACCAGAGCGCCTTTTAAAAACCCAGGGTGGGGGAGGGGGGTCGGATTTGGCTGGTGATCAAGCAAAATCGCTCTGCCCCACAGGCACACTTTGCACTCGCTGCTCGTAGCCGAGAGACAGGTGGCGGTGGAGGGGCCACTGGGCCGGCTTCCTCAATCTCCGCGGCCGGCGGAGGCGGTGGCGGAGGGCATGGCATGACTTCAGCCATCGGCCTGGTACAATATGACTCAACATGATACAATGGTCAACGAGCATCTATGAGCACAGAATGCGCCTGGCCATTCAATGCCTATCACTCGAGTTGTGCCTCTTGAAGGCAGAAAAGGCAATCGAAGTTGCCACGCCGAGTTCGCCACAAGGCACGTGAGGAGCGCTGCCGAGCCGAAAGAAAAGGACTGCTCCTACCCGGGAATGACCCTATAAGTCCCCCACCCCTCCCCCCTCCCCCCCCTCCCCCCCAAGCAAAAACAACAACAACTCGACTCCGCAAGTTCAAGTTCGGAAGAGTGCTATGGGAAGCTCGACTTCAACAACAACATGGGACCTGCAGAAACCCTTCCCCCTCTCAGCCTCGACTTCCCACCGTGTTTTCCTCACCCCATCCACCAAGCCGAGGGTTAACACGCACTTGGGTCCAGACCCTCAGGCGTAACTTCTTCCAGCTTCCCGTTGCACACGGGTCGAAGGCAACTGCCTGGACTCGACTTTCCCCCAAGTCGCGAACAGGTGTCGGCTCAGGGTGCAGGGTCATGAGGTATTTTAAACCCGGGCTCAGCTCAAACTTCTTACAGAAAGCCCGTGCCTGCGTGCACCCTCAAGCGGACAAGCCTATTGGACCAGATGAACCATTTTAGTCCAACAGACTTCAAGAGAGACAGGGACTCACTGCGGGCTTTAAGCCGTTTGGTTGTAGGGCTGGCCTCTTTGAGCACGGCATCCCTACAAAAGAGCGCGCCTGTGGAGTTAAGGCTTGTTTCTGTGGAACCTAACAGCCATGATATGCCATGATTGCGTTACCAGAATTCATCGAAAGCCTGAGCCCAGCTCGGCCCAAGTTGAGTCTTGGCAGCCTCGCGGTCCTCTTCCTGCTTTGCCCAGCGAAGCAAAGGCTCGTACACGGCCTCGCGCAGGCTCCTGAAACATGTTGACTTAAGATGCGCCCTCGGCGGTGGCAACTTCTGTTGTTTCCCTGTTTCGATGGTGTGGATGCGAGGGGGCGTTGGGGCTTTACGAGTATGGGTAGAACAAGGGCCGCTCCCCGCATCCTACCGAGACCTTCTTCTGGGATTCCTTGGCGCCCATCTGCATGTCTCAGCAGGCCAGCTTTGGACATCGACGTAAGGGGAGCGGGCTTAATTCAAAGCCCAAACCCCACGGCCCTCGCGACTCGAAAGCACCACGCGGGAAATAACTAACACACAAAGCGAACCATGCCACGAAGCGCGCGCTGCAAGACATGGGTTTGCTGGGGTCCAATCGTCAGCTCTGGTTCGCATGCCCGGCCTCACTGAGCTGTCTGCACGTGCGGGCAGGCTGAAGACTTCGCGTGCCTGGGTGCCAGGCCACATTTGCGGCCATGGAGCCGTTGGTTTCTGCGAGCGAAACCCCCCCAACACCCCCGATGCGATAAACTCCCCAACTCTTTCTCCCCAAATCTCCCGAAAAGGTCTCCGATGGAATTGGCTCAAGCTCAAACACGCTGTGAACATGGAAGCTGCTTCGCCCATGCACCAGCGCGCCTTGTGGTTGCCCTTGTCGTTGGTGTACAGCAGGACCTCCGCGGACTAGGTTTGTCTCTCTCTACCGACATCTTTGTGTCCCAGCTTCGGGTGCATTCAGCTAAGGTCCGGGTCCAGCAAGCCCCCAACCTCAACTGAACCTGCTTACGGCCACGTTTCGAAAACTAACCCCCCAAATGCCCAGAATGGCTTGCTCTCCCCAGTTTTCGGGGCCTTCAGCAAGCACTCCTCGGGATGGCAAGGTGGGCCCTCGCCGACGTGTACGCTGTAGGAGTCTGCAAGGCCCGCCTGAGGAAGGGAGGGATGGAGAGATGGAGACAGAGAAAGGGAGTGAGACGGAGAGAGGGGGAGAGCGACAGGTTGGAGGGAGAGAGAGAAAGAGAGAGACAGAGAGTGAGAGAAAAAGAAAGAAAGAAATAAAGAAAGAGCTAAATATATGAATAAAGCAAGAAAGAAAGGGAGAGAGATTGAGAGGCCAGAAAGAAAAGGAGGAGCCTGAGGGAGCGAGGGACCTACACCGACTGTTTCCAATAGCCTGCCGCAGGGTACGCGACTCGTCCTTGAACATGCCTGGCCTTGGCAGTGCAGCATTCCAGCAAAGCCTTGCATGTTCGAGGGGCAGGTAATAGGGATACGTCAGTACCAGGATGGTCTCATTGTGTTGCTGTTCTCAGGCTGGATTCTCAGCAAAATCAACTCTGAGGCCCGTGCGCATGTTGAGAACGGCTGAGATGCACTGCGGAAGGGTCCAGCTGGAGAACTTCGCCGATTCGTGCCTGTCACGAGGATACCGTTGCGTACCGACCAAGGTTCTCGCAGTTTGGGAACTGTTTATGTTCCTCGACCGGGGGGGTGTAGTTGTGGGCGTCAGGCTCCTGAGTATCCGTCTCAAAGTGATGTTTTGGCTAGTTATGCGGATGTGCAGGATGGTTTCAGCAAGCTTGCGCTGTTTGAAACGTGGTCGCTCTCTCGGCATCATCAGCATCAGCATAACATCAAGACCTCGCGCATGCTACTCATTACCCCGCACATTGCAGCTGTTCCGGCAGCACACAATTGCCAAGCCGTATGATGCCCACCCAAGTCTGTCCCACTTACCTGTGCTGCACGCGCGCACAGGCACACACACACACACACACACACACACACACACACGCACACAACACCACAGCCCACATCGCACAACGAACAACGCAACAACACATCAGTTCGGCTCAGTGATCCGGCACCGATCGGGTGATGCTTCTCCGCTATGTTAGCTTTGCCACCTTGGGGTGTATCATGGTGTAATTACCCGTTTAAGTGGAGTCGGCCTTCAGCTCAGAGAGCGGAGCATCTTTGCTGATGGCAATGGGTGGGAACTCCTGTGCCACTCTTGCGACCCAACACAGACTCAGCCGGATCGTCTATTAACCCTTGGACTGCTGAGCTGCTGAGCGCATTCTCTATACTTTCATGAACTACGAGCAGGGCCATGCGACTTTGCTGGTTTCGCCCGCGTCCTCGGTGAACTGCGGCCTGCCAAGCACAACTTGTGGGCTTTCGGGTTTGCGGGCTCTGACAGTGGCCACCAACACAAAGCTAAAGACTCTGTTGAAAACTCCGTCAGCTCACGGAATCCGATGTCGAGACTCCTACGTTACGAGATGCCTGGCTGGATGATTGAAGCAAATCTTGGCGGTGTTGCATCTCTCCTCCACAAGCCTGAGTATGTGAAAGCGAATCCACCGAACTCAAGTTGGTACAAGCTACGAGTAGGAGGAGACTTCCTGCAGCTCGGAAGCTGCACCGCTTGCGAAAGTCCTGATGCATGATCGAGCTTGAACACTACAGGCCCATAACTCCCCATGGAAAGAAGCTGCCGTTCCCAACCGAATTTGCTGCTAGATGCTTCGTGTCAGGAGTAGGACACCAGTGATCCAAAGCTGAAGCTCTGGGTCGCAGAGGGTTACCAAAACCAAGCACGTGCCAAGGATAAACCACACGTCGTGAAGTCTGTCAGCCCCGCATGTGCTTAAACCACATCGTTTTGCAGCTTTTGCTTTGGATGTTTTTGGTCTCACCATGTCTCACAAGAAGGGCGGGTTGCCGTCCTGGCCCGTCCACGTGCTCCACGCAAATGATGTCGCCGTATTCGCAGCCGGACCTCTGCAAAAAACGCCCCACCTCCGACCCTGAAGTCCACCTACTATGCATTCGCACACACACTGTTTTAGTAATACATCGTAAAAAAATATACATACACACATATATGCACTCCCAAAACGTCTCTTCACTGTTAACTCCAATTCACCTTCATTATCTCTCATTGCCTCTGCGCTCCTCTCAATCGCAATGGCGTCTCAGTCTTGTTACATTACACTGTGTGCAATAGCTGGTCTGCCAGCACATGCAAGCATAATGCAGGCATGCCGGCTTGATGTGTTTGATTCTCCGCGGTGCTTGATACTTGCCACATCTCACGGCCATGAGCGAGTGAGCATTCAGGAGCGGTTGCGCTTCACAATGGCGAGGACCCCTTATCTCTTTATCTTGGATCCTGGAAATGCTAATTCAGCATTTTTCAGTATAACCCATTTGAATCAAAGATGTGGATTTCATAGACCCCTACAATCTTGGATGCCGGGTCCAGAATTGTGCAAGTTCAGCTTCTCACACCTGTGGCTTAAAGGTTCAACGGTTTAGCCATTTGTCCTTCTCCCTTATCTCTTAATCTTGGACTTGGAAGCGTAAAAACCTTGAATCTTGCACTATTTAGCCTCGAAACCTTGGTTCCTGGGGCTAAACATAACCTGGGATCTTGGATTCTTAGGTCTTGAAAAACTTCGATCGATCATGTACAATCAAGCATTGAATCATAATTTCGTCTAATATGGTCTTTCAGCTAATTCAATAGATAAACAAACCAACACATGGTGTTTATGTCTTCAACCTAGCCGTGTCGCAAAACATGGGAAAAATGATGTTATGTACTCACAGTATTTCCGGATGTCGATATCACCTAGGTGCTGTATCTGCTTTCCTCAAGTGTGTACTCTGGTGAGGTTACCATGTATACATATACACATACATGCACATACGGAATGAGTGGTGTGCTTGCCGCATCTGAGTCTCCGACCCTTGCAGTGTCAGATCATCACCCTCCAGCTCCTTCCCAGCCTCTCCAGAAAGGCTGACAAGAGCCATAAGGCCACCCTAAACCCTAAACCCTAAACCCTAATTAAACCCTAAACCCTAAACCCTCTCCTCACCGGAACCCCCACACGCTTTGCCAGCCTGTGGCCCCGATAGCGGCACAATGGCAACGCAGCTCGCACCAGGAAGGCTCCTGTCGAGCAAGGGAGGGGACGGGGGACGAGGGAGGCTTTTGAACTTCGGAGTCTTGAAGCTGGGAAGGCTTTCTACTTGGCGTAGTGTGGTTGTGCAGGATCTACTTCTTTTGGAGAGGTGCCTGTTGCCAACTCTCTAAAGCTTCCCCATCGGACAGTTTTATAGTATGGGCACTGAATTTCCGATAGCTAGAATCCGAGAACTGGGCAAACCTTTCCGTCATCAAAAGCATGAAGCTGCTTTGCCAAAAGCAAAGCAGAAGTCCAGAATTTCGCGGCTGCTTCTCGCACAGTTCGCAGCAAGGGCGAGCGATCTGCATGGGACCTGCTTGCTTCAAGTGGGTGTAGATCCATGGACTCTGTCAGCTTAGAGCTTCTCAGCTGCTTGAGAAGGTATCAGTAGCTGTTTCTTGGTATTAATATGATTACAATATTCTTCTTATTGCTATTCCTAACACTTATAGTCTTAATATTAAATTACTCTGATTATTGTCATTAGTCAGTCGCTGTTTCCTGCTATTAGCGCTCCAACTTCAGATCCTGTCCAAGCCTTTTCCCCAAGCGCTGGCTTTACATTCCAAGTGTAGCTTGCTCTAAGCGATTTCCTGGCCTCGTTGGCTCTGTCGGAACCTCCAAAGCAAAGAGGTCCTGGGGTGCAAGGGTGGTGGGGATCTCAAGAACTCGCAAGCGCCAGCAAACCCTGGACATTCCTGAGCCCTAACAGGTCAAACAAGAATCATCAAAAACACATTCCTGAACCCACTTAGGCCCTTGATGATCCTGAAACTTAGGCATCAAGCTGGCTGCGCCCCATACGCCTCCATGCCAAAGCCCCGAGACGGACGGCTGCAGTTTCAGGATATGATAGGGAGCGTTGGGACGTTAATTGGCTGCAGTGTAAGTTTAGAGACTTACGACCCAGAAAGCGGAATGATACCAGAAATTATGAGTCCCCGAACCCGAATGCTCACCTGCACCTCTTCGGGTTCAGGTTCGTAGGTCTCTGCGATGGCCGCTGGAACCTGATCGGTGGGGGGGTGTCTTTTGTGGCCACCTTGATTTTGATTTTCAGTACGAATACAAAATGTGACAAAAGGCCTAGCTGACGGCACGCATGTCACTCTGCAGGTCTGCAACTGGAATGGGCACCAAGGGCCCCAGTAGCACTGAGCTCCAATCTGTCCGAAATCTTGAAATTAAAAAGGTCACGAACATGCCTGTGTTGGCTCGTCGTTGGTCACATTGGTCCGGCCGGCTGCATGCTGACACGTGACCTCCCACCGAAACAAGATTGGGGCAGGGAAGTTCTTGACGAGTCCATTGTGTCGTTTGGTGGCATGCCGTGTGGTCTCTTTGTCTCTAATGACTTTGCCAGGCACCTCCTCCGCCGGAGGCAGCCTCAGCGCGACCACGCTGCGACTTGGTGCTGTCAGTTGCTTGTCCCAGAGAACCTCGGCTTTACTAAGCCTTTGATGTGGGATGCTGTAACTGAAATGGAACCGGGCACTGGCACCTAGCAATGTGCCTGGCAGCTGCCAGGCGACAAGGAAGGTCACTGTGCGATCCTCGTGCCACGGCTCAAAGCCTGGGCGTTGCATGAGGCTGTGTTGTGTGTGGCTCTGCAGCGCAGCAAGAAAGCTGAAGCTAGAAACAAGACATCGCCTCAGATGTGTGTGGCCTGCATCCAAGCTGATGAGGCGCATTCGTCGTCTGACGGCAGTATTTATCCCTATCAACGACTCGTCATGCGCGTGGGTCATGCGCTGGTTTGGTTTCCGCCTCGAGGCTCTTGACCCTCCTTCTGCTTGGCAGGCGAAATCCATCTGAAACTGGATTCTTTCCTGCCGGGCTGCCTGAACCATTCGGCAACTCCATGATGACAGTGCCGGAATTCCCCAGGCAGTCGCCAAGGGGTCCGTCCCCCAGCGGACGTCCAGGCAGCCCACGCCAGGGGTCGTAGAGGCGAAGCCTGGACCACCCCGAAAAGAGCGGCACAAGTACGAGGGCTCTCGACACTCATGGCAATTGTCAGCTGCCGTTCTCGGCCGTTCATCCGGTGACAAAATAAATGCCAAAGACACAGCTTTAACTTACAGAAAAACTCTAGTTGGGCAAAGCTTCTATCGACATGAACTTTGCAGAACCAGGCCTTGCACAGTTCAGTGCAGCGATGTCCACGTCACGGCACCAGGCGTGGTCCAAGGACCCCAGAGCTTTCCTGACTGATGGTTGGAGCAAAGTTCCCCAAACTGCCCCCAAAACCCGTATGTGGTATATTGTCGCTGCGGATCTTGCAAAGCGTTCCCTGCTTGCCGTCGAAGCGCAGGGCTTTCCTCAGCACTGTGCCAGGCTGCCGCTGGTTGGAGGTCTTCACTGTCACGGACATCTCTGGCCTGGGTGGGGAGCGCGAACACGAGTACAGAGGGCCCAAAGCCAAGAACCTCGTAGTTCTGAGTTGTGTGAGACCAAGCTGCAGGCGTAACCTTGAGCCTTGAGCCACCATCAGCTGGACAGCTTAATACAGCCGCAAACGATGCAAACAAGTCCGTGATCCCTAGAAACACTGCCGCAGTGTCTAGAGATTTCTGGATCCTGTTGAGATTCTGGCATCTTCAGATACCGTTATTAGACCCTAAGCCCTAAGTGCCCACAAGCCCCAGCCATCCCCCAATCAGCTGGCCCAGTGGCGATGCCTCCGGCGCCGCGACGCCCAACGCCTGCGGCGTGGCGGCAGGGGTTCTTTAAATCTGGTCCAATTTGGGTGGGCAGCTTTCTTGCCAAAAAGCCAAATCCCCCAAATGCACAGCAGCTCCACATGTCCCGTCACTGAAGTAAGGATGTCTTCATTCTTCATGGAACCCGAGATCTGAAACTAGCCTCGAGCTGCACTGCTGCATAGTGTTGCAGCGCACGGTCTGCGGCCATGGGCAGGAAGACTCGGACCTTAAAGGTGGACGGAGTCTCTGGCTTTTAGGGCGCAGGGGCAGCTCTTGAAAGGCTTGGCCATTTGTTTGGGTTCTTGTTTTATGCCGCACGATGTTGCACCCAGACTCACCGCAATTGAAGGCTGGTTTGCTCAATGGCTCTGCATCACTGATGTGTTGTCACTTAGAGACTTAGATTGCCGAGGCCCTGTTACATGAGACTTGCCCCCGTATAGCCAGGCGAGAGCATTTTGGCATCACTTCTCAAGGAGAAAAAAAATTGTAGTAACCTCGACCTGATCATGAAACATGTGAGGCAGGGAGGCGGCAAATCCTGGCCTCCATGAGCTTCCGATGAAGATCATAGGCCCCTGGGCGGAGAATGGCACAGGCAATCTCGACAAGCTGAAGTACACACATGCGCCGGAACTCACAAAACTGCCCGAAAGTCTCTACACACGCCGCAACCCCCAAGCCTCCAGAAAAGACGACGTCGGAAACCCCCGGCCCGAGTTTTTCCCTGACTCCCTGAACATCGCCGAACATCCCTGACCTGCCCACACCACGCTGAAGGACCGAGCGTCGCTGCAGGCGCGTCAAGTGCTGGTTCTCCGCTAAGACGCTGTCACGAAGGCTCGGCGGGATGGCATCGTCCTCCGCAGTGTGCCACAATTCTTGGGGAATTCTTGCTGGGATCTTCCTTCTGGGATCAACCTCTGTTCTACGAGGCAATCTGAGTTTGTTTGTGTGGAGGAGGGTGCTCGAAAGGCTGTTGGTTTTGAGACCTTGAGGTCACTGAAGGTTCCAAGAAGGAGGCGCTGACTACGCGACCCGTCCTGCACTGCGGGAACTGTCGTCCCTTCAGCGGCCCGTCGGTACAGCAAGAAGTACGCATCTGAAGAGTGCAGCGCCTGGTGTTGCTCGCCCTCTGCAGGCCCAAAAAGTGCTGAACGCTGGCTCTGACTGAGCACTTGCACGCGCGAGTCGTTGCAATCCCTCCACGTACCACTGCATGGATCCTGGGTGTAGGCGTGGTAGTGGCCACCATGAGCCGTCCCGCTGTGGAGGCAAACGGCGGCCAATTGATACAGGCAGGTGCCGCCATGTGCTGGAGTAAGGAAAGCCAAATCTATGACCAAAGGCAGCGCGACCACGTCCGACAGCTTCTTGCGCCGCATGGTCTCCACGTCGAAAACGAACCGCAGCAGCTGCACGCAAAGTATCTTCGGCAAGCTCTCTATAGTCAAGCCTTGCAGGGGTCCACAAAGCTTCACAAAGCTTTATGTCGTTTTCATCTCGCAGAAACTGAGCACAGACCCCCTTTTTGCCCCAAATGCACTGGGCCTTTCAGCGCATCAACCTTCTGACCAAGGTCCTCGCAGAGCCATCGGTTGTCCCCGTCCATCACCTGTGCTGCAAGACTCCCACAACCTTCAACAGCCCAAAGTGCTCTCTTGAGCAATCCCAAACCCCAAGCTCTTCACCAGGGTGGTGGAAGATGGTTGATGGGTCGTGGTTTGGGGCTCCTGCAGCGTTATATAGTGCACTTGAGATTCGAGCTTTCCGGCTCCTTGGTGTCCCCTTACCCTCTTGGCGCAGGACCTCCGGCTCCACCAGCTTGCGCAATGCCTCTTCGAGGCTGCGGCAGTCCTAGGAAGCAGATTTTTTTTGGTCCCGGAACCGGCACCCCAAGCCCTGAACCTGGAGATACCAGACGGGTGTTGGGGTGTAAGAAACAATAGCTCACGTATGCTCACGTTAAGAGTGTAGAGGCAATTGCGGTTCTGTCCGATTCGGCTAGAATTCGTTGCCCCTCGTCCTGGATGGGCACCTGCAGATCCATGTACTTCTCTGTGCGTGCGCTTTCGTAGATTTTGCCGTTGATCTCCTTGCAAAAGCCAAGAGAACTAAATAGCTGCCGCTCTACGTGTGCTCACAGCCTCGATCGTTGCCCTGGTATCTACTGTGGAGCTGAGCGTTGGGCATGTCAGTCGCCTTGCAGGGCATGTTTCAGCCGCGCCTCTTTGCATCTGATGTACGACGTAGCCTTGCCAGCATACCTCTCCCAACAATTAGCGATCCCCAGCATTGCAGCATGTAGATAACAAGGTCCCACGCCATGCGACTACAAGAAGAAGCCAAGACACAATTCGCGAATCGTGTCGGCCAAAAGGGATGAGGACCTGGCACACTTGCGCTGCTTGCAGGGACACTAATTGCTTGTGTCTCAAATTCATGCAAAGTCGTCTGCCTCTCCAGAGCATCGAAAAGAACCCGACCTGGGCCAGAAAGATAGGTGAAGCATGGCCTGGAAGCGTTTGAAGTCGAGATCCCGGCAAAGTTCTTGCACATCATGCTGCTGCATAGCATCGCGGCCTTCATGCAGGGCGTGTTCCTAAGGCAGCCAAAGAAGCCGCGTGGGATCGAGCTCACACTGAGCTCACGCTCAGGCTCTGAGTTCAACCCGAGATGACAAAAACGCCTGACGTGGATGCTGCAAGATTGATGCCCCGATACGTCCGCCTGTAAAACCGCATGCCGCTGTCAGCTCCTGCATTCGGCTGTGTGCTCTAAAGGTCTGCTGGATGGTTCCGCATTCCAAGGACGATGCCGGGGGGGAGAGGGGGAAGGTACGGGCTCAAGAGGACGAGACTTGCGGCAGAAGCGCTCCCTGGCAAGAAAGGGCTCTACCAAAAGGCATGAACATGCAGCTTGCAGCACAAAACGCGACAGAACGCTACAATACCAGCACAGGAGCTGCAGATACCCACCCCCCCCCCTCCCATCCGAGAATGTCATCGCAATGTATCTCGTTGTATCTCAAGAAAATCTCAAATAACCTAATTCCAATGTATCCCAATAGCTCTAATCTTTCCAGTTCAGCGCTTGGAAGGATCCTTCGTGGAGGCAGCGCCCGCGACGGAGAGCTGGAGCTCGGCAAAGAGCTTCTGCAGTTGGAGCGGGATACCTCTGGCATAGCCCTTACGTACCTCTCACCCTGTTCGAGCTCAACCTTTGCAGCCCTGGTCTTGCAAGAGGAAAGTGCGGAACCCTAGGAAGCCCTCACCAAAGCCCCCCAAAAAGCATCCTTATGGGTCCCAGTGGCATCTGCTGGCTTCCCCGTGGAGTTCGGGGCTGTGTTCCTTGAAAGGCAGCTGCATCACACCGAAAGATCGTCTAGGCCCCCCTGCTTGGCTGTCTTTCATGAGCGGTGGACCTGCACTCATGCGGGGTCGACGGTACACGCGAGTCATCCATTTCATCCATCCCTTCATTCATACACGACCTGGGTCTCGCATCGACACTCTGCATCTTGCAGAGGAGAGCCAAACTTTGACACACGTGCATGCTCTCAAGTGCCCGTGCTCTATGCTTTGTAGCAGAATCTATGGCTAAGAGCCTAGAAGCCGGGCATATTTGGGTTGGATGACGGTATGCCTCCGGCTCAGGAGGTCTGTCGGGATGGGGGGTCAGCCGCAGTCTTAAGTGAACCTCGCGGAAAGCAGCACGTCAGGATTGAGATACGCCAGATGGGGTGGCGTATACAAGAGCTTGCGTGCTTTCAGCCTGGTCTCCAGTGCTGGCCAGCGACGAACCCATACAGGGCCAGCCGGAACTCGGGTGTGTAGAACAAGGCTTGAAGCAGGGAGTTCATGTAGCAGGTGGCCTGGCAGTACCAATACATGACTCGCAAGTGTGAGCCGCATGGGGTGACAGTCGTTAGTCTTCAGTATGTAAAGGACAACAAGAGAGCTTCCAGATGGCCTTTCACAACGTGATAGATCATGTATTTGCCACGGGATGGTGCCGCGCAGCCCGTTATATAGAAGCAAGCGATCAATGCAACACTGAAGCTTGAATGGGGGGTTCAGCTGACCGTTGTGGCCCCGACACGAAACTATACGGTTTGAAGCTCTTCATGCCGGAGCTCGCGCACCCAGGACTTCACTAGGACTTCCTCGGACTTCAAGCCAAGGTCCCTAGAGCCGAAATCCGAACTGAAAGCCCCGAAACAAGCCCCCCCCCAGAAAAACTCACTTTAAGAGCATGAAGCTGAGTGCACCGACGCCCTGATTCAGTAGCCCCACGCCGCCTGGGTCCGGGCTTGGAGAAAAGACATCGGAGCATTCTCAAACCCAGGGCCCAGGATGAGGCCGACACCCTCATCTCTTGCCTGGAGCTTCGCCTCTGCAGCATCGTGGCATCTACCCAGAGGTCGAGGGTGGCTTTCTCGGGCAGTGTTCTACTAGGGGTACTCGGAGCATAACACACTCCACTGCATTGCCATACCCAGCAAGCCTGCTGAGAGCAAGAACTTCCAGGATGAAGGAATCTGGGATCCGAACCGGCCCACTACTCCGTAGCAGGGCCAAGAGCTCCTCACTGTGAGCCTTTGGAATCAGAGGGCTTGGCTCAGGGTAAAGCAAGCAGTACGTAAGGAGCTGATGCGTTGCAAGATCAAGTGGCCCCCCCACTGGACTTGATTGCATTGTATCCCTCAATAGCCTGAAGCCTCATCCACAACTGAAGAATCAAGTAAGCCTCGTAGAATCGCTCTTCCTCCTCCTCTTGCGTGTCCTCCGCATATCTCATCATATCACCACATGGTGGCTCCACAACACGACTGTGCAGATTCTCGCAGCGCCGGTCCTCGTTGCCCGCATTGTGATCGTTGACATCCGCGGCTGAAGAGCCTACTGCAACGAGGGGAGTGGCAGTGTGAGCTCAGCCTCTGCGATGGCATGCCTTGATTCAATTGATTCACTTACCAGCCTTTTTCAACGCGGGAGACGAAGGCAGTGGATCCAAAGATGTCCCTTCAAATTCGGCTCAGGATGAAACGCAAGCTGTTCTTGCCAACATTTGCAGGACAAGCGGAGCTCTGCCATGTCGTTAGAGACAAAAGGGCGCCAGCCGAACGAGCTTGCACTTGTACGAGAATCGGCTGGCTACTATGGATTCTGGACAGCTGTATACAGTTCAGGTGAGATGTCTGTCACCGGTGCATGCAAGTTGGGTGAAACACTGATGCAAGTTTTGCCTTTCTAGTGTGCGAATTGTTCATTCTATCTAGCTCTCAATGGCACGGTGGCTTTCAAGGCATCTGCCTAAGGCAAAGAGACCATCTCCGAGCCAGATCGTTCGGTCGTGCCAGGCTAGGCAACGATGCCGCTGTCCGCCGGGATCACCTTTCCCCTTGCATCGAAATAGTGCGAGATCTCGTCACCTGACAGCTATTCGGAAAAGCATCCCATCCTTACCCTAAACCCTAAACCCTCACTGAAGCACTCCTGCAACCCTCCCCGACCCAGCCTTTGTAGGGCGCCTGCAGCTGGGCGACGGCCAGCTCCACATCTTCTGAGGGCACGTCCACGCTCTTCAGGAAGTCTACGTAGTTGAAGATGATGTGGTCTCCCAGGTCGCAGTAAACATTGCCTGTGTCTGTTCGGGATCAGAGCTCTCACTGGAGATGTCTTACGCATAATGACATAGTCCCTATTGCAGCAGCTGCTGTAAGGTCATGATGCGATAAGCACCTAAACCCTTGCTTGCTGTTCCATGTTGTTCCATGTATACCGTCTTGACTAGCCAAGGCTCCCAGCAGGTTCACGTCATCCTCTGAGAGGTCGAAGCCCATGCTCTGCATGACGCGGTGGAACCTCAGCCCCGGGAACGCACCTGCAGAATCCTAAGGCCGTGACCGTCTGAAGGTTGGTCAGGGAGCTGGTTCTTGGTGATGTGCTGGCAGTTGCTGCGGTCCATGTCCTTCCGGGGCTCAAAAGGGTGTAGGAGCGTAGGGTAACCTGAACTCATCTCGAAAAACCTGACATGCTTTACGAGTACTTCACAGGCACAGCCGAAGTGCTTGGCCTAGGGGTTGATGTCTTCCATGGACAGCAACCCAGCATGACTATGTACTATCCCTGATGCCGATCCAAAGCGTAGATCTCAAACACAGCACGACTTCCCGTACACGAGGATCCAAGCCTCAACATTTCTAGGAGCCATTTGAGGCAACTTTCTGCTCCAAACCTAAATGCCGAACCATGAGCACAGCCTTGAAGGACGGCAGGAGGTTGATGCGATGTCTCTGCACCTTCGAGCGGATTTTGCCTCAGGTACCCAACAGCGATTTGACGCTTGGGGCTGGCGCCGATTGAAAATAGGGGCATCTGTGTTGCGGGGACGTTGGGCGTTAAGACAAGCAGGTCTTATAGAGGTACAAGTAGCATCGATGAACATGCCCATCAGGCCCAGGTGCTCTCCAGCCACTCCCATTGCTTCAACCTATCGGGAGAGAGCAGGACCTTGTTACGTCTCGCCACCATCGTTGAGGTTGAATCCGGCATGCTGGTCTGTGCCTGGGCGCTCTATGGTGCACTGCGCGAGACGAAGGAAGGGCCCCGAGACAGTCGGCTTTGTAAAGGTGACATGTGAAGGTGCCCCTCCCTCCCCACTCTCTCCCCTTCTTCCTCATCCATTTTGCTTCTGGTGCTCGCTCTCGCTCTCGCACTCGCTCTCACTGATACTCTCTCTCTCTCTTTCTATTCTTGCTTGCTTGCTTTCTTCATCTATTTCTTTAAACTTATCTGTCTCCCTCTCTCTCTATTTTTTTCTCGCTCTTTCTCGGTCTCTATCTCAAAGGGAGGGCAGGGAGCGGTGTTCTCTTGCTGCCAAGCCGCCAGGGGATCCTTCTCCAGGTTTGGCATCGCGAACTCCCTGTCCACATCTGCACAGAAGTCCCCATAGCCTGAGTTCACCGCTTGAGTCCACTTCGGTCACCCTTGCTGCACGGTGAGGCGCTGGGTTGGATGTCGGGATTCGGGCAGGAACAAGCGACTGCGCCGTCCTGGAGGTAATGGCAAACTGTGTCAATCTGGCCGGCTGAGGCTGCGAAAACCGAGGAGGAACGTGGCAGCACTCGCAGTTTGGTGCTGAAAAAACAAACTTGTGCTTCTATCTCGGGTGGGCTGCTGTAGCTTAGAGGCTTAGAGGTTACATCGAACGCGCGAGGCCTTCTTGCCTTGGACTTGCCTTTGTAACTCCCTGAGCCCCACAAATTCCCGAGAACCTCTTTCCGAGGAACAGAACATGCCATCTTCGCGCTCATACCGGTGCAGGAGCTCTTCGTAGTCCGCAGCGGTGACAATCTTCCCAAGGTCGCAGATGGTCAGCACGGTCTTGACCTGAGAGGCCTTGCAAAAGCCCTTCTTCAAGTGGTCGAAGTCCTGGAAGTACTCCTTGATGCGGATCCTCTTCTCCACGACCTTGGCACGCAACTTGTCAACGATGGTGTAGAGGCCCTGGCTCCACTCCGAGTCATCTGGCTTCAGGACCAGGTCGCTCCTAGGCACGGGTGGGGGCTCATGGGAGGACACCTCGGAGATGTCGTTGTGCATGGCCATGAAGTGAACATCGCCTTTGTCCGTCATGTAGTTGTTGGCCAGCAGCTCCACGTCCTCAAGCGGGAACTCCTTCTTGAAAGGGAACCTCTTAATGAACTGCTCCCTGGTCACCTTCCCACCCATGAACGGGGAGGTTCTCGCTGGCGATGCGACCGGTGCCCGATCAATATCGAAGAAGACCTGTTTGAAGAGAAGTCCCCGTGCCTTGCAAAGGGCCGCCAAGCGGTGGAGAGCATGCATGAACCTTTCCTCCTCTTCCGGTGACTGGGGCTTGAAAGACATGAGCTGGGTAGTGCTGGGGGAACAGGACATGTGATGCTCGTCTGGACTGCCCACGATGTAGACCTGGTCAATGGCTTCGCAGAACTTGATGTAGTTCACAATCGCCGGTGGCGCCACATGCGCACCATGATCCGTGAAGTGCTCTGCTAGCGCATCGACTTCCTCCTCACTCAGCCCCGTCATGCCCAACATGTTCACCGCCCTGGCAAAATTGATGAGTGTGCATCGCCCATGCTTGAGAGGATCGAAGTCGTTGAAGAACTCCTTGACGCGAATTCGTCGCGGGTACACGTACACCTGGATCTTGCTCACGAGCTCCGCAACGGCCCCTTCCATTTCTACAAGCTAGTCGCTGAAAGAGGTAGGGCAGGAGTCAGGCTGAAGCCGAAATCTGCGGCGTTCCGTGAATCTGGCGTTTGAAAATGCGCAGTTAAAGCTCTGCTGCTTGCATGTTCCGAGGATCCTGTACTCGGTGGTATTGATCGGGAGCGTCGGGCAAGAACAAATGCCAACGCAACGTTGGCATGTGGATGTGTATTACACTCTATATTTCACGTGGTATGCTGCATTCCAGAGAAGTTGCAACGCTTCGCCTTCCGCAGCCATGGCCGTAGCCTGAGACTCCTCAGCCTCGGCATGAAAAGTTGCTCCAGTGGAACGCAGCTCAATTGACAACAGGGCGCGGGCTCTCAATGGCAACCTGACTGAAGGGTTCCCCTGAACGCTCCAAATCCAAGGCCAGGGCTGGCGGGGATACCTGTGGACTGAAGTTCTTGAAAGCGTGTCTTGAGGTTTGAGAAAGCAAATCGAAGTTCTTTTCCGACCACGGCCCCGATGATCCCCGATGGCATCTGCTCGAAATCTTGAGGGGTAGGTGCTGGATTCAGGCGATGGCTGTCGTGAACGAGTCGAGGGATGTGGAAGTTCGATGCGGATGGTCTCAGCAGCATGGGATTGCACTGGTTTCCCTCGGAGGAGGAATCTCATTCACATGGGTTTCATTCTTCTGAATCCTACATGCCTTGCAGCGGGCTCTTTCTGCGCTCTTTGTTGCAGAGGGACGTCAAGCCAAACAACTCCCACGCCGAACCAACCTGGAATTTGAAAAGAACCTGTCTCCAGGGGACCCTTCGGGCATTGATGGAATTGGAAAATCCACAACCTACTGCGTGCAGGTCTCGCTTTAGACACAGACGACTCACTTCTTAAATGAGCTCCGGCAAAGCGTTGCGCAGCCTGCGTTCTTCAAGGCTTTCCTGGCTCTGCTTCTTCTCAGCAAGCTTCTTCGCGGAAGGCTTCTGCTCCAGCGTCTTGTTCTTCTGCGGAAGCTTCTTTTTCGAAGCCTCCTCGGCTGTGTGGTTCTTGTCCTTTGTTCCTGGCGGTGGCAAGTCCTTTGAGGACGACCGCGGCAATGTCTTCTGTGATAACTTCGGCCTGGGTGCGTGGTGTACCTGTTGTCGAATCGTTGAGTCGACATGAGCTCGAGGCAGATCATGAACCTGCTCTGGCTTGGCCGTTGACACGTTGCTCTCGTTTCGATGCGCATGGTGACGACTTGGCGCCTTCGCATGTGCTTTCTTAGCGGTGGCGGGGCAACCCACGGTAAACGAATAGGTTGACGTTGCTTCGCAAGTGATCAAACCGATGCCGTCATCATAGGAGTACCCGTACACTCCGGGACACATTCGGTGGATGGCCCCAACCTTCAAGCGACTCAAGATCAGCATGTCAGTATTTTATGCTCGAGATTTTCCATGTCACAACATGCTTTTCTCTTGCCAAAAGGAAGATAGACTCACACAGCATATATGCAGCAATAGGGGATTCGATTTGCTGTTTGCCACTCAAAAATGAGCCAAGAAGCATACTTCGACAACTTGGCACTTCCGTTCCTGCATGCCGTCGGTGAAACAGGTGGTGTGGGGCAGCAGTACTCCCGGCTCCACATCCCCAGATTATGCCACGAAGCCCGCACAGTGGTCCACTGATTCAATGTCAGCTTGCTGCAGGGAGAATAGCACCCAGCAGCCATGCTTGCAGTAGGATGCTGCACTTGCAAGTCCACAGTGAGATTGCCTTCGCCCTCGGAAGCGTTTAAAGTCTCACTTCGAGGGCAATCATCCACACTCAGCTTAGAGCAGTCCACGATCTTCTGCGAGGCATTCATCAGGTGGTTGTCTGCATCATAGCATGTGCCATGAATCTCGAACTTGAACGGGACGGTATAGCCATCAACCAGGCTGATATCCACCCAGTCACAGCCATCCCGTCCACCTTCGAAACTTGTTTAGAGTTCTCCCGTCTTCCCCAAGAAGCATGGAACATAAGAACTCCCTGGAAGCTTCAATCCCTGACCTCAACTCTAGGTACACCACAGGTGTTCATGGGCATAAGCGAGTAACGAAAGCGCTCGTCTACAAAATGATACCTCTGTGAGAGGGTAGGTGGGAGGGGGGTGATGGATGGGGCCATGAGTGTGGGCCAAGCACAAGATTCCAACTAACCCAACCCAACATAACTCAACATAACCCAACACCTCAAGGCCCCAAACGGCCCAAGCCCCAGGTCCTTGAGGGCTGCAGGGCATGCCAGAAATGCCAAAGGTTGCCTCGAACTTGGTGTCGACAGGCGGGGAGCCTTTCTTGCTTATTTTTTGGTTTCTCTCCTTTTCCTTGTTTGAACCATTCAAGAATGGTATTCGTGGCTGGAGTGGCAGGGAGTTGGCCCCAGCGCAAGGGCTGCCCTGTCATGAAGCCATTGAGTGCAACCGCCTTCTGAAACAACAGGAGTCAAACACATGAGGCCCTCGAACCCCTGAGCCACTGAGCCAGAATGACCAAGGAACAGCCTTCAGCGCTGCAGATCTGCTGAGGCCCGCCGCTGTCACCGATGGTGCACCTGTTTCCTGCGCATATCATGGCTTCTTTCCTCAAGACTTTCTGGCATCTGTAGGTTTCAACCAGGGTGCGGCTTGGAGTACAGCATCAACTTTCGAGCTGGACACTCACAGAAACCGCAAAAAGCCGCACCAGTCGAGCACCAGCCACCAGAACCGCAGCCCAAACCAGCCTAAACTTGATAAACCTCTCGGAACTCACTGGGCGTCCGTCGTCGTCACAGCCGAACTTTGGCCAGTAGCGCGTGCTGATCCTGGGCCAACATTTGTGGTGTTTGAGTTCGGACAGGTTGCAGCATGACATTCTAACATGAAGGCAGGCGGCAAGTAAATGGCTTGCCGCCCTCCTAACCCCGCACTTCAGGGTACCATTTCAGGTTAGTCGGAGAAAGTTGCGTACTACCGAATACTAGGCCTCTACATGTTCGAAGGAGCATCGAGAGGTTGCAAACGGAAAAGGGCTTGAATCAGAGGCAAGGCCGAGGATCATGTTGTCCGGAGTCGTGAAGCTGAAGCCTCGGAGGTGCCGCAGTGCCAAGGCTTATATTAGGGCTGTTCAGGGGGCTTTGAAGGCTAAGGCTTACCAGGGCTGGATGAACCCCTTTGGGGGGGCCGGCGCCCATGACTTGTGGACTCGAGCCTATGGCACTCCACTGCTTCAAGCCCAGCTGCTCGCGTTTGGCGGAATCCTTGGCTGTTCGCGAGACTGCTCATTCAACCCGTGCAGTGCTTTAGGCGGAGCGTGTCGCGGAGTGTGGTAGGTGGAGATTGTCGCTGGGTCGCACGTTGCCTTCATGATTGCGCCCGACGGATGCTCCTGGACGCAACTGTTGCATCTAGGCCTCTGCAGTCAGCCCGCTGAGAGAAGGAACGGCGCAAAGTATGAAAATCACCGGCTGCTTCCCAGCTCTCTCAGCACTGAGCTATGCTATCAACTCTTTCAACAAAGGAGTTTGACCCAACTTTTGTGATCATCACTCCGTCAAAGGCATTGTGAGCATCGTTGGCCACGACTCGCAATGCAGGGCCATATGAGGGCTGCAGGAATGCAGCATGCGAACTCGTTTTAACGAAGCCCCAGGTTTCTCCCACTTGCAGATTGTGCAGTGGCTTCCTGAGGTAGCTGGTGCAGGTCCAGGGTATGGCTTCGGTTCAGGGATTGGTTCGTGCCACTTACTGAACACTTGTTGCACGGCACGGGCTCAACGTGCCACCTTAGCCTGAATCCGCTCACTCATTCCCTTATTCGAAGAAGGTTAGATAGAATGGACGCTTGACGAGCAACCGCCCAAGCAGGGCCAGTCCCTCAAGCAGGGGCCCTGAGCAGACTTCTGAGCACCATGCGAGTTCCTTCTACTGGTCTTCGTCGAACCGAGCTTTCTTTGTTGGGGGGTGCTCGTCTGATGAGACATCTTGCTCGGTGGCAGGAACGATCTGGCCTGGAAGAGCCATGTGGCGCGATCAGCCTGACAGAACCTAAGCCGAAACACTTGAGCCGTATAGCCGTATAGCCATTCCTTGAACCTCAAAGCCACCCGAAACCCCAGCGCTTAAATCCAAGGGTCTTGATGTTCTGGCCATCTGGGCCAGTTGTGGTGCCTGCCATGTGGGCAACCCATACTGCCTGCAAGGCAGGGGGCGCACAAGATACAAACAAAGGCCAGTTGAGGATTCTCGACACAGACATGTGCAGCCTATCTTTGCGTGAGGATTGAAGACTGCAGTGCTCCGAAACTGCAAACACAACCCTGAATAACCCTGATAAGTCACATAAGCCAAAAGGACATGCCGACTCCAAGCTGCAAGCCTACAAATCCCAACCCTTCCACGGACTTCCACCTGCTGCGTCAATCAATGGAGAGATATGGACAGATAGTTTGCAAAGCAATGCCAATGCCTCTGTGGCACAGGCATTGTGCACGACCAGGCGCTTGTGCTGCGATCCTTTGTCCTGCAGGGCCCGGGGAGACACAACAAAATGCCTAGTGGCTTAGCCGCCTTAGCCCCTGAGGAAGGACTGATTGGTGCGCAAACGTGCGCAAACCAATCGAAGCCCCCCGAGACTCAAAGACTCCAAGAACCTGCTGATTAACCAGGCTGCCATGAGCTCCTGGCTCGCAGCCCTTGTCCGAATGCAATTGCTGCTCCCTAAACCCTGAATATTATGAATATTATGAATATCATGAATATGTTAATATTATGAATATTCTGAATATTGTGAATATTACGAATATTATCAATACAACCCTCTGTTGGGTGAAGTCTGGCCTTAGCCACTTTCGTCAGCTTCGGCAGTGGAGGCAACAGCGGCAGCGGCTTCCTTGGGTCAGCCAGTTCTCATGAATTAAAATATTAATAATGCAAATAATATGAAGACTATGAAGAATATGAAGAATATGAAGAAAATTCATTTAAAAAACAATAAGAATATTGATAATATTCATAATATTCAAAATATGCCTTCACCAGGTGGGTTCGCGTTGATGTTGTGGAGGGCTCATTTGCTTTCGAAGCTGTATCAGCTGCTTTGTGTCGACTCGGCACGCATTTCGGGGCACGCGACCCTCTGCTCTCCAAACAATACACACAATATTTCTCATGCAAAACCACAACAAGAAACGGATATGAAATCTCCACTCTTTTGGGTTTGTTTTAATCTAGTTTTTGATCAATTTGATTGTATTTTCTTAATCAATTAACGATATCTGCAATTTTTTGTACCAATTGCGAAGCAGCCCATGGTAGATGCCCCTGTTTCGAATCAAGTTGCCAGCCGTCCAATGTCTGCGACCCACCTGAGATCTCTCCAAAGCAATTACTTCAAAGGCGTTAGCATTGGAAAAGATGTGCAAACGGGCAAACAATCATAAAACAATACTTGAGGCGGTATCGGCAGCTGGGACACATCGCCCAGAGGCCAAAAGCAGTTGGACCGAAACAAAGAGCCTCATCTAGCTACAGTGCACGTTTACAACTCATGTAAACAAACTGAAGCCCCAACCTTTCCCAACTACCTACAAATCCCCAGTACGACGGAGGGGGGGGGGCGTGGGTGGCTTAAATAGGGTCTATTTGGAAGCTGGGACTCGGGTTTTCTTATAGACATACACGTTTCCACGAGGGTACGCTGCTGTCACGTCAGTCGTACTATGGAGGCCTCAGGAACAAGAACCAGGTAGTTCCTCTTTTCTCTTCTCTTTTTCTCCTCAATCCTAAAGTCGAAGGCTCTCGTGAGGAGAAGAGAAGGGAGAGAAGGAGGGAAAGATAAGAGGAACACGATTTTCATGGGAAGAGCCAAGAAAAGAATAGAAGAGAGATAAAACAAGGCGCAAAGAAGATGGTACTCTTCTTTATCTATCCTCTCTCCCTTATCTCTCCGTTCCCTCTGTCTTTTCGAAATGAGAAAAACAAAAAGAAAGATGAAAAGAAGAAGGGTTAGGAAAAGAGCCGAAGAGATAGGCCGAAAAGAGGGGTATGGTGAAGTACGGCAAAGGTCCACGCACAAGGAGTCACCTTCTGCTTACCCTTCCACTGCTTGATTTTACAAGCTCCTTTCTTGTGTTTTATCAGTTAAAATTAAAAGGAAACAGAAGGAGAGAAGGGAAAGGGAAGTGAGAGAGGAGAGACAACAAGGAGGCCATTTTAATTTCCTGTGAGTTATCAAAAGGAATGCAATATTATGGGAAGAGCAATGGAAAAAAAGAGTGGAAGAGAAATTAAGACAGGAGAGGGAGGTGCAAAAATAAGGCAAAGAGAAGATGGTGCCGTTTTCATCTCACCTCTCGTTCTTATCTTCCTCTTCTCTGGTTCTTTTCCCTGTGAAATAAAAAAACAAAAGGAAGGACAATGAACATATAAAGGAACCCGTTTTCGTTTTCCGTTTGGGCACAAGGAAAAAAAACAGAGGCGATAGGGCGAGAGGAGGGGTTTGCTGAAGCATGGGGAGGGTGTACGGGCAAGGGGCCAACTCCGCCCACTTCCCCCATCCATTGAAAGAGGAAAAGGAACAGGGCCTCCATTCCCCTCTTATTCTTCCTTTCTTGCGTTTTTGTCGTTTAGAAGGGAACAGGAGAAGAGGAGGGAGAGAGAAGGAGAGAGGAGACATAAAAAGGGTTGCATTTTTAATGGGAAGAGCAAAGAAAAGACCAGAAGAGAGATGATGGGAGAAGAGGGGGAGACAAAACAAGGCGCACAGAAAATGGGCAGATAAGAAGAGAGGAAAGGGAATGACCAAGTACAATGAGGAGTTCTTCAATTTCCCTCCCTATCTCTTATGTTACTTTTCCTTCTTGTGGGGTGTCCCTTTTTCTCTTGAAGATGCAGAAAACGATTGAAAAGGACACCCGTTCCATCGCCCATATGTAGGGAAAAAGAGAGAGAATCATGAGCATCAGCTGGGCTTGCTGCCAATCCAACATGGGCGTCCCTTTTAATCGCATTCTGTGTCCTTTTTTCTCGCTTGAAGATGCAGAAAACGATCCAAAAGCACATCTGTTGGAGGAAGAGAGAAGGAGAGAGGAGAGATACCAAGGATTGCATATTTAATGGGAAGAGCAAGGAAGAGAATAGAAGACAGATGAATAGAGAAGATGGCGCTCTTCTTTATCTATTCTCTCTCCCTTGTTTCTCCCTTCCCTCTTTCTTGTCGAAATGAGAAAAACAAAAAGGAAGAACTATGAGAAGGAGAAGAG